GTAAGTTCGACATTAATATATTTTGATAACTCTTACTATTTAGTACTGATAAATCCAGTTTTCGACGCTCTTTAATTTGATATAAAATTCATTAGGTATTCAACTTGAAATAATAGCGCTACCCCCCTAGCAAAAGGTTATGCACAACCCGATATATTACAAAAATTCAGATTTTGCCTATCTGTAACTTCAAGAATAAACGAAATCGTTTTCTTCACAATGAAAATATACTATAGTAATACTGTTAAAACTATTTATTATTCCTAGCAGAGATGGACAAAATCGCACCGCGCCTAGGCGCTACGCACATCTCTCTTTCTCTTTGCTCTACCAATCAGTTTCTCAAACTCCACCGAATACCAGGATGCTCTAAGCATGCGCTCATCGAAGCTCAGACTAGTGTAGCGTAGGCGTGAGCAACGGCGCGGTGCGATTTTGTCCATCTCTGAATTCCTAGTACTCGAACTAATAATATAAAAATGAACGGACGTGTGACATACAGTGTTTTATCTCACTGCAAAGAAAAGAATTTGCCTGGGGGAAGCAGGAGGATTGGCGCAATGATAATATGTTGGTTTCTTAAGACTAAGCATCATGTTCGAACTTTCCCTCCCACAGCATCATGTTTATATAACTCTGTTTTATTCTATATGTCGCAAGCTACTCGTTTGTCGATGGTCTATGCATATATTCTCAATTTTTTTTTTTATTGAAATTGATTTCAAAAGATATGATCGAAATTTCGAGCGAAAAAAAAAAATAATTTAGATGCTATGGCATAAGAAAAAATAAGAGTAGTCAGTGACATAGGAATATGCTCGGAAATCTTACTGGAATTTTCAGTTTTTAATCTACGCTACTATGAACAAATAAAGTTAACAAAATTTAAACTAAATATTTTAATTCTATTGTATCTGTACAAACTCTACAATTGTAGGAAATAATATTATTTCAGTGAGAGGGAGTACCACCGCAATTTCAAATAGAGTAAATAATGTATTTTATATCAAATGAAAGCTCATCGAAAATGGTACTAAATAATAAGAGTTATGAAAATTTTTCTCTGTGAAATCCTTGAAATTTTTAATATTTTATTGATATCAGATTCATTAGACAAAGTTCGAAATAAACGCGTTAGAAAATAGTGATTCTTTTCGTTGTTTAATGAATATAATGTTGACTAGAAAAATATTTCCTTTCGTAATAAATGAGAATAATTTTATTGATAAAACATCGTCTATGCCAACAAATCGGACACAACGCTAAATTTTGGGGTAACGATATCTAACCTGGAAACTCACTCGATTTCCATGCAGCAGAACATAGTAGATCAATGAGGAGTGACACAAATTCTCATAAATACAGCTGTTTAAAAATTTTGATAACTGTATTCTTCTTGAGAAGTGTTAAAACTCGAATTGCAATTCGAGAGCAAGTCTCTCGAACATAATTTATTGTAAGCAATTCTAATAATGATAGACTTTTTAAGTTGAAGTAACTTGAGGGAATGGCTAAGTCATACCATTAGAAGTTACAGTGAGATAGAAGCGTATGATTGGAGAAGAAATTTTTTAAGATGATTCATAGAGATAAGCCTACTTTTCCCATGACATTTTTCGAGAATGTGGGTTGATATGAGTGTGTTCAAGAGAATATTCGCACTCACACCCATATATATGCGACATATGTCATAGAAAGCGACAAATATAATTTCACTTTTAGTTACATCGACAACTTTGATACACTATTGTTTGATGAACATCAACTCTCATTCAGTATAACTTTTAGATAAGTAATCTATAAAGTTTGTAGATATGATCTATTCGAGTTGTTACCATTAAACAAAAAACTTTAAAATCAGATTGGATATAATAGTCATATCTTTTGAATCTAGTGTTTTAAGCTGAAAAAAATAGCTGCAAACGTTGTATAAAAGATTATAAGAGAAAATTATTCATAAATTTAAAATAATATTTCTCATTTACGAACAATTGAAACTTTATTTAAATTATAATTCGAAACAGAAAAATCTTATTTGAATACTTTTTTTAGTGCATTAATGTCTCATTATTAGTGTAAACAGATTCGATATCAGTACATTCTAAATCAAGAATTTATTCAACAATACTGGAATTAGAAGCCTAAATAAACTGGACCAAGCTCATCGCCTCTCATTGATCGAATCCTGAGTAAAATATTTTCAAAAAATTTTGTGTATAGAGCAGTTTTCTTTTCAAAAAATGCCATGGAATTCTTCCGTTGGCTCCAAACAGCAAATTCTCTACACTCGCTATCTCTTTTGACTTTTATCCTAAAAGTGCAAAAATCGATTTCATACTCAATAATCATATGAATACATTTTGCTTTCTGGGTGAGTAATCAAACAAAAGCATCATCAATGACTATTACTATTAAAAATATACATTCAATGAAGCGAAGCGAGAAGAACAAAAAAGCACATACACATGTACATCACAACAACAATAAAAGAAAAAATAATGTGTCGATGGTTTGCTTATATTGGTGAAGAGCCTACTCTTCTCGAAGATATTCTTATCAAACCAAAACATTCTATTATTAAACAAATTGATGAACATTTTCTTCCAAATCTTCATATTACTTATGATCCTCATCTTTATCGAAAAAAACTCAGTTCAGGTATAGCATCTGATAGTCATGGTCCAAATCATTTAACAAATGTTGATGGATTTGGTTTGGGTTATTATACAGGTGCTACAGCTGACTTCAATAATGATAATGTAAATAGACCATGTGTCTATAAAAGTACTCGTCCACCACTCAATGATCTCAATCTGATGTCTTTATGTGCACATACATCATCGAAATGTATATTTGCACATATTCGTGCTGCCACTGGTCTATCACCGGCAGTCGAAACAAACAATCATCCGTTTGTTTTCGGTAGATATTTATTTATGCACAATGGAAGAGTAGCAAATTTTTCAAAAATTAAGATTGCTCTATTACAAAAATTATCTCATAAGGCTTATGAAAATATATTTGGAACAACAGATACTGAACATGTTGCTGCACTTTTCTTTACACATCTGGGAGATGATTGGGATAGTGAATTACCTATGAAAAATCTCAAGAATGCTATGATAAAGACTCTGCAAGATATACTTGCATTGATTCGAGAGAGTGCTAAGGATATGGATGAAACACTTCTGCATAGTTCTCTTAATTTTGCTGTGACTGACAGTTGTCAATTGCTTGCGATTAGGTTTTTGTCGATGGAAGACTTTGAACCTGCTTCTTTATATTATTCAACTACAGCAGGACCTACGTACAATCGAAAATTTCCTGATCATCCTGATGGAGAAACATCTAAACAGAAATCAGTACGAGCTACTCATGAACATGGAAAACATGTTATTGTAGCAAGTGAACCAAGTACATATAAAACAAAAGATTGGCATTTGGTACCACCGAGTTCGTTTGTTCTTGTTGACAAAAATTTTAATGTTATAATTGAAAATATTGATTTGTAAACTTTTCGACAATGTTCATCTTTTGATATTTATACAAAAAATAAAAGCTGTACAGATCTATGAAAATAACAATGAAGTTACTTTATTTAGTATTAACCTCTGTTGCAAAAGTCTTTAGACAAAATGTCTATTCATTTTTCAGCCGCCTAAACGTTATTAATGAGAATCAAAAGTTAGTTAGCTAAAATCAGATTTTTGTGCTCTTTTCGAATATCTGATCAGAATATTTCACTGACTCGATATTGATTAGGGACAAGCTAAATGTTTGACAGAGTCGAAAATGATGTTCGTAAAGAATTTCATTGAATGTATTTTTGTATTTTGATCGATATCTACTCTACGGAAAACATGAAAGATATTTTCATCAGCCAATTTTATAGAGCAAAGTTTGCTCTACAAACTATGCTATTTAGTTTGGTTTTCTATCTCGAAACAAATACATGCAATCTGTTGTATTATAAATAGAAGATCTTGGAAAACTGACTTTTTTGGCAGAATTCTATTTTACGTACCAATCAGTTCTCAGAAAAACGTCTACAACCTTTTATTCATTTGAGTTGAAGCCTGTTGTCATATATGATTTTATAGAGAATTGAATGCTCTACAAATTGCAAATTTCGAACTGCTTCAAAATCCAACTTCCATAAGTAATGAATAGCGAGAAAACATGTGTTTTCTTCGTCGAGATGTCATTCTTCGCCTCTTTCAAGTATTAACTTACAGCTAACCAATCTTAAGCTAAAGAGATATTCTGAACACATATCAGAAAAGAGCAGATAAGACTGACTCTAAGGATCTACTTTTGGTTCGTATAAAATACTTTTAGCGGCTGAAAGATGAAGAAATATTTGCAGAATTACTTTTTGTACAGACATCATTTTCGACTCTGTCAAACATTTGGCTTGTCCCTAATCAATATTGAGTCAGTGAAATATTCTGATCAGATATTTGGAAAGAGCACAAAAATCTGATTTTAGCTAACTGCTTTTGATTCTCACCAATGACGTTTAGACAACTGAAAAATGAATAAACATTTTGTCTAAAGACTTTTGCAACAGAGGTTAGTTTCAGATTAATACAGATCAGTTACAAATGGCAGAGATATTAGAAATCTCTCCTAAGATTTCAAACAATTTATAATGATTTTTTTTAATGAAAATAAATTGACAGTATAAGTCTTAGTCAGATTTGCTGATTTTCTTCCAATTTTTAAGATAGATAGTGATGTTGTCATAATTTTGATCGTTTGTATCGATTTTATGTTGTTAACGATCTCGAAAGATGAGTTTGAAAGTCTCGAATTTCAAAGAATGTTTTTCATACAAGAATGAAAAAGTTTCGATGTAAATGCGTTTTATATCAAGAATTCATTCAACAATATTAAAACAAACGCACTTTAATTTTTAGGAAACTGTCTTGAGTGAAAATCAAAAATTTTATTGTGATAATATTTATTAATGTAAAGACTCATTTTATGTTGTATCTTCGATAAATTTTCAGACGTTAAATGATTAATTGAGTAATGCATCTACTTGTTATTCAAGTACAAGCAAACAACAGATTCTAAGCATAATTAATCGTTATTAGTCTATTGCTTTAATTTGAATGTATTTATTTTCATTACTACAATTGTATGGTCATATATTTGCATAAATATTATTCAAGTGAAATCAAATAAAATACTATTTACATTTGACGGGAGAAAAACATCTATTTTTTCTTATAGGGAACAAAACATCATATATGTATATATACTAAAAAAAATATTCACGTTTGAAAATTACCTATTTTCATTTTTTAAAATCAATAAATATCTGTTTATCATCATTTTACGATCGTGAAATATGTTATTATCATTGTTTTTTCTATACGTTTTACTATGGAAAAATATTGCAATAGCCATAGATCCATTACCAGGTGTTGATATAATTCAATCCGGTTTTGATGCTGTAAAAATGTTGAATATTCAAGAGAAAAATTCAACATCTAAACTATTCGATTTAGGTGATACATCAGAAGGTGACAATTATACATTCAATGTACTTGGCATTGATCGTATTTATTCAACGCCATTAAATGTCCACGTTACAAATGTTGATTCGAGAATTGAAACTTATTCTCATACAGTTGCATATACATTTAAAGATTTCTGTTTAAGGTATATATTATATTAATAACTTTTGAGATATTAAAAAATTCTCTTTATTTGATAGCTACTTTCAATCATATTCATTTGAATATTCATATACATGTGAACAAGGAATGATAAGTTCGAAATATCATCCAATATTGAATAAAGCTCAAAATATGATTAATACAACAAAACAAACTGCTATTATTTCAACTGTATGGTGGGGTCTTTATTCTATACAATTACCTCCAGCATATTTACTTGAGTAAGTAAAACATCAATATTTTTCATGTTTAACATAAACATGAAAAAAAAAAATTAACATATCAAAATTAGAAAAATAGCATTTATTCGAATATTGAAATTAATCTTTGATTGATTATATTCTTTCACATTTGGCAAAATGATTTCGTTTTTATACTCAAATAAGCAATTGCAAAGATAAATTATATATTTATTTGCAATAGGATTGAAAATTTTAACTGAGAAAAGTAAGAGATGATAATATACGATTTAAACAAGAATGTCTCAATGGTTGACAGTTTTAATATTGTCTTAAGTAAACTTTTTATCACATATTAACTTTCATCGTTTTATTTATTCTCGACAAGGACTGAATGATGAAGTTTTCGAAGTTGGAATATTATATGGTTTGAAATGTAAATATGCATTGTTACTATTATTTATACTATCACGAATTTCTGATATGTAGCAGCATTAAGTACAAGCGAGGCCCTATGCATACTGCACAGCTGTTTTCTTCTTTGACGTATGACCTCAGACGTTTAAATTTTCATTCAATAACAGTCATACAGACACTCGATATTATGTATATAGATAGATACGCCTACGGCCTCATACTCTTATATCGCACATATTTTTATAGTTCATTAGCTCTCAGCCTTATGTTTCTTGTAGCATTATCTCCTTATTGCTTGACTCCCTTCAGGGCCTATGGGTGCAACAATATAAGAGTCGTTGAGAACCCATGGGTACCCCCATATAATAGCCCTTGGGCCTTCCCCTTATATGACCTTTGACCCGGTAACAGACAGACACACACTGAACATTGTATATATAGAAGATACTAGAAGAATATTGTAATACTAATTGAGGAAAGACAATTTTTCGTTAGCACATCTATGCGTTTTGTGAAAGTCACATATATGTTCGAAGAAAATAGTGAGTGTAAGTTTTAAGTCGAAGCTTCGCGGCCCTCACTCCATTACAGGCCATCGCAACCAGAGATGAGCAAAGTCGCACCGCGCCTCCCCGCGCTTCCCCGCGCCGTTGCTCACGCCTACGCTACACTAGTCTGAGCTTTGATGAGCGCATGCTTATAGCATCCCGGTATTCGGTGGAGTTTGAGAAACTGATTGGTAGAGCAAAGAGAAAGAGAGATGTGCGTAGCGCCTAGGCGCGAGCAGTGGAGCGTGGAGGCGCGGTGCGATTTTGCTCATCTCTGATCGCAATTCTAGCAAAAAAAAGTAAAAAATTTCTATTCGAAGTATAGCAATAAAAAAAGACAGTACTTGCTGACAATCGAATATCAGTAGAAAATAACTATCGTTTTTTAGAAAATATAAATATTGTGTATTTTGTCGATAGTATAATCAAATTAAAGAAGATATATGAGTTTCACATTTCCACTCCAAAGAGACTGCGCTAACAAGCTTTTTTATCCTAATACACAACGTTGAACTGAGAATTTTCTTAAAAAAAATTAATTAAAAGTATGAGACTTTATACATTACTGAAAATGGGCTACGAAGAAATCACTTAACTCACATTGAGTGTTATCCGATTTCTATTATATCTCAAAAACAAACAAAAAAACTCTATTCTGAAAGTATTCATTATATTGCAGCTTTGATCCATTGTTCAACAAAAGTATACAAATATTGAATAGTCGTGTATCTGATCCTTATACAGAAGATCAACAATCTTTATACAATAAATTTATTGAAACATTTGGTACTCATTATATCTCATCAGTCATCATGGGTGGTTTAATCAACACATATACATTTATTAATCAAACTACTCATTCACAGTATAATTATTCAAAAACATTACAAGACATATCTCATACAGTATCGAGTGAAAATCGTATTCAAACCAATTTATCATTATCAGAAAATTCACAAACATTCATCTTCTATGAACCTTCAATAAAGGCTAATAGTTCAAAATCAGATTGGTTTACTTGGATACACGCTCTTGATAAACGTCCAAGTGTAATTAATCGAACATTAATTTATCTCACATATTTACTAGATGATTATCCTGAAGTCCAAAATCATCTTCAAAAAACCATTGATTACTATCAAAAACATGGTGTATTACCTACATTAGCACAATTAAATGGTAAAAAAAACTTTAAATTATCGTCTACTCATCTACCATCAATATATGGACTTGATATTGTTGGTTGTGGTTTTGATATTCTATCTATGCAAAGTAAATTATGTCTAATTGATATATCAAAGATGAATGATGAAAATCAATATATTGATCCTTTTAATAGATCATTAATCTATTCAGTACCAATTGGTTTCTATGCTATAGATACTCCTGATTCTTTAACATTGAATTTTTCTATTCAACTTAGAACAATTGATGATTATTATAAACGTACATTTTATTCAACACATTCAGATAGTTTTGGATTTTTAGGATTTGGTGCGAGTCATAATTATAAATCAATTGAAACATTTTATCGACGATTTTATGAAGAAAATTATTATCTTGCATTACGACTATTACAAATAAAATGGTATACACTTTCTATGATTACTTTTCCTTATCCAAAATTAAATAGTATAGCACAGAATGCAATAGAAAAACTACCAAATACATTCAATTCTAATAATACAATAAAATTCAATCAATTTTTTTCAACATTTGGTACTCATTTTGTTCAAAGTGCAGATATGGGTGGTCTTCTACAATCTGAACTTTGGTATAAAAAATGTTTATTATATACGAAATCTGAAACATGGATTAAAGAAGAATCAAATAAGTTTTGGTGGTTCTTTTCAAGTAGTCAATCATCATCATCTTATCAATCATCAATAGATCAACAATTTAAAGAATATTCAATGTTTTCATCGAAATTAATTGGTGGTAATCAATTTATGAATACAACATTATGGGAACAATGGGCACCTACTGTTAAGTCAAATCCAAAGGCAGTACAATATTATCTCAGACCTATTTATACTCTACTACCTGTAGGACAACAACGTACAGCTTTAGCAGATGCTTTAGCCTATCTTCGAACAAATGCTGATACTAATGCAAAAGAATATATTTCTCAATTGAAAGAATTAAATCCACCGCCACAAAGAGATTGCGGTTTAAACAAAAAAAAACGACATTTACGTTTAGAAAAATCGCAACGTCAGAAACGAAGTCTAGCATTAAATGCAAATGCTGCTCGTCAAGCACTATGTCCAATTGTTGGCTACAATGGTTCATTCTGTCCAGGAACAAATAAGAATGTAAAGTCGACGGCAAGAGTCATGAAAACAATTACACAATTACATCGTGGGGTTGGTATGACTATTGATATTAGTACTGGTAAACTAATGTTACCTGTATTAGAATTAACTTATCCATCAAAATTGAAAATATGGAAAGATGAGAAAGGCTCAGGTCGATCATTTTCTATTCCGAATGAAATAAGTTTAACACCCGTAGATGTTAATCGAGATAATAAACCTACATCATATATTTATCCTACTCCAATGCAACTTGCTGATGTGTGGACTCGTGCTAGTGGTAGTGGTAGTTGGTTGGGTGGTGAATTAGGTCACACAAAATCAGTTCTAGATATTAATTTGAAGTTTTTTTCTAAACAACAAGCAACAGCTATTACTCAACAACCAATCGGATTGTATCGACTCGAAGTGAATAATTTAACATTAAATGAATATGTTAAAGAAGCTATAAGTCTATTACCAGCAACATATGATGCAAGTATCTATAGTGATTTTATGGATACATGGGGTACTCATATTGCTGTTTCAACATTAATTGGTAAGTCAAATAAATCATATATAATATCTGATGCCATTATCTTTTGTTTTTTAATACTGAATGTAGCATAAGCTAACGTAGAATATTGTCGAATGTTTCATTTATAGTGCTAGCTCGTATAACATTTATTATGCAAAAAAAACATTATTTATATGATTTCATAATACACAGTCCTATTCTATTAAAATGTTTAAAATTCTAGCAGAGATGCCCATCGCGGTTGAAAACTGACCGACGCCGTCGTCGCGCCGCGACAATAAAAGAAAAAAGCTAACGAACTGCAGTGACAAAACTAGAAAACCTACTGCAACGCTCCCAAAAATAACTACGCCGCTACCGCGATGGTTGTTGGAATAATGTTGTGAATTTTACGAGCTGTGATTGTTCAGGTTACCAAAACTATGAGATTAGCCGAATCTCATAGTTTTGCACTTGCGAACATTGAATTTCTGTTCGAATTCATGCATTGTTCTCCAAAAAAAACCTACCGCTATCGCGCCGCCATGGACATTTCTGAATTCTATGGGTTATACCATCAATAGTTTTTTCTCTCGAAAAATAAGGTTTTTTCAAAAAAATTCATGTAAAAAGTTTACATTTTTAAAATGAATATTAACACTCGACTTCGGAGTATCGAATAGTATTAATAAAGTTGATTTAAGACTCTTCCTTGCGTTCAAAAATTTGTTTCTACAATAAATTCTATAGATATCAAAATAATAATTTAAGTTAGTTTAATCGTCTTAATTTTAAATTTCAGGTGGTATGGTTGAACAACAAGTTGTTTTTAAAAAATGTATGTTATCAATGTTAGCATTGATTGGTAATAACATACTCGATAGTTATCTAACAGCAGATTTAACATCAAATAAAACAACAAACAGTTTATATACACAACGACGACAATTGACACTTAATCATCGTTTAGGAGGTAATCCGACAATAAATGATCACTCAACATGGATTCGAACAATTGCTTCCAATCCAGCATTGTTAAAAATTGATCGTTATATTCCTTGGTGGGATGTTCTTACAGATACTAAAATTAAGCAAAACATGCAAAAAGCAATTGCCGATCGTTTAGATCAAGTAGCTAAAAACCAAAATCAACTAGAATCTCAAAATCAAAATTCCTTAGGTCTTGAAACAATTGATGTTTCTGTTGGCTTTACACTACCTCGTATAGTATGGGACGGTTTTATTCCTCGTCAAGATGGACAAATGTGTCTAACTGTTGGACCTATTCTATTGAATACTTCATCGCTATGTAATAATGAATGTAATTTAGGACAATTTATTGTAACAAATGAAACATTAACAGGTTTCGAAAATTTATTTACTTATAAACGTGATAATACTACCGGATCGTTTCATATTGTATTCAACGATTATAAAAGTAAGCATTATTAAACAAAGAAAATGCATCAGTTCGAGAAAAAAAAAACTATCAAAATTAATTTTATTAGAAAGAAACTTTCAGCTTGTTTAATACTTTCACAATATTGTGAAAAGTGAATATTCTTCTCATGTATTGACAATAGAGGTGTAAGCCGTACTGCAGGACCGCCGCCACGGAATCGTAGATAATTTTAAGAGTTGCCGCTGTGAAAAAGCAAGTTCAGCTGCCACGCCGTCGTCACGAACGAAGATTTTTGATAATAGTCTAAGGCGCCGCCACCGTTCACATTTTTAAGAGCAAATACGTTTTTTTTTTGGTTGCCAAAGCCGCTGCCGCTACGGAAAACAAATTGACCATAAAAGCCGTCGCCGCTGTTTGAAGCTTCGGCTTACATCTCTAGTTGACAAAATTCCATTTAATAGTTATAGATGAAAAACGTACACATCCTTGATTCTGTATTACTTAGTTTCACTTGAAATACTAGTTTGAATCTTCAAAAAGTAAATAGTATTATCTTTGAAAATTTCTTTTATTTTCTAGACAGTAAAGTCGTTGTTGGATCAGAAGTTTATGGTGCAGGATGTTCTGCAATCGAGCCAAATAATAACAATAATAATATGCGGATTTTTCCAGTACTGGTTTGTTCGGGTTGTACACTCACTTCAACTCATGATGGTTGTTCATGTCCATGTCCTATATATTGATATATAGTACTAATAAAATAATTGACGATAATTATTTATTATTAAAACTTATTCACGACTATACTTTCATTATTATTTTCATATATATCTCTATTTACTTTACTCAAAACAAAAAAAAAATATAATAAAGTGTTAATTAATCAGAAAAAGGTTCAGTAAAGATCAATTTTAGGTTTTTAGAACATTTTATTGTCTATGTAATTTATACAAAGGAAAAATTGTAATAAGGATATATTCTCTGTATGCCGATTGAATAATATAATACACTTCTATTATAGGAAAAGCAAATCAAAGCAAAAATAGAAATATATTCAAATTTAAAATAAATCAAAAATGTATAGAAATTCATATATAAAGAATTTGCTGATTATTATCAGTTATCATTGATTTCTACAAAAAAATTAGTTTTATTATGTGTGTGGAGTATAGTGTGGAAGGATGTGTTGGTGGCAATGTCCGACATAAGTCAATCTTTTGTGACCCGACTCGATCCTAACTCAACAAAACTAGACCCAACCCGAGATTAAAGATATTTTTTTATCAAGAAAAACGAGTTTTTTTTCACAGGTTAACAATCATTTCAGTGTATCTATACAAACTCTCTCAATGTTCGAAACAAAAAAACCATTATCTCATCTGAAATCGCCGTTTGTCTGATAAAAACTTCGAAAGCGATCAACTGTTAGACCGGACCCGACCCGAGTCGGTCACTGGCTGGTGGGGATCAGAGCCCGAAACGGGATAGATTTTATCTTCCTCGCCTCGTCTCGCCCCGAACTCAATTTTTTTTTGCCAACCCACCCCGTCTCGGCCCAACCCGACAAATTCGCTTCCCGCCTCGTTTCGGTCTCTGGTGGGGATGACAAGAAAAAACTCACATCTGACCCATATTCAGACTCCTACTCACACCCTCATTCATTGTGATATAGTGAAATGTGTATTCATCCCTCGATCGAAACTTATTCACTTGTAAAATCACAATCATTTTTCGCTGAATGAATCGTTATGAAATCAAATATTCATTGAAAAATAATATTTCATATATATGTTTTGTAGATATTTTTACATAACCGATTAATAATATGCATTACTTATACGTATTACTAGTTTGGTATTTTTCGGTCTTTATCTATGCTAAGGAATTGCCAGGACTAAACTATCTTGCATCAGGTTTTGATGCTGCCAGAATGGTGAATCTTAATGAAATCTCGTCAAGTGATCAATCAAAATTTCGACTTTTCGATCTGGGTGCATCGAACGGCAAGACCTATACATTAACTGTCGGTAATCAAAAACAAAATTTTATCGTTCCTTCTCTGGTGCAAGTAACCGATATATCAATGATGACTATCGCAGGTGTGGAATCTATTAGCAAAACCTTCAATGAATTCATTTCACAGTATGTGTGTCTTTGTAAGAATTTTACGTATATTTCTCCATAAAAAATATAAAATGGCTGCATTTGGCAAATGACTAGGATATAGTATGCATTAAGTCGCATAGCCTTTTTATCTAAAAATCATCAATAAAGATTTTTAATGAACCATCTAGAACGAAAGTCGAAATAATTTATTTCCCTTCTTTATGATCGTTGTTTCTGCGATAAACAAAAAAATAACTCTGACTAAAATATATATTCTTTATTTCAGGTATTATTTCTCGTTCTCATTCGATTTAAGTATTGTTTTTCCGATCGGATACATTCCAGTGACACTCGAACTTAGCATTGATAATACTATTCAAGAAGCCTACCAAATGATGCAATCAAAATATACAGCAGTAGCTACGTCAACTACATGGTGGGGAATGTATAGTATTCAAATGTTACCAGCCTATATGCTAAAGTAAGTTGTTTATGATAATATAAATTAATTCTGGTTTTTGAGTATCAGTTTTATATTTGATAAATTAAAATAAATTTAGGAATAGACAATGTTGTGCTCACTATTCCGTATTTTCAATATATTAATGACTATGAATTCTTTTTTGTTTAATTTTGTGTGACAAAAAAAAAAATTATTTGTCAAGTGGTTACTAATATTTTTTTTGCTTCACTTCAAATTCAAAGAAAATTTATCTATTAATTCTATAAAACTTTTCAGATTCAGTTCGACCTTTAACAGAAGTCTTTCGAGATTAGTATCAAATCCTACTACTGAGCAACAACAGTTATTTTATAATCAAATTGTGACAACATTTGGAACTCACTATGTTTCATCAGTCATTGTTGGTGGTATTGCACATTATTATACATTTTTAACTGAAGAATGGCAACGTCAGAATAGTCAAAGTTCAACTGAAAATCAAGTTTCAATTGGTTTTCATCTTGGTTTCGATATTCCCCTTGGTATTGGTGAAGACTTTGGAGGTATTTCATTTGGTGGTGGTTGGGGATTTAGTGGTGGTATTCAATTAGAAACATTTAAGAAAAATTCAGCTACCAAATTTCTTTTTCGACCAGCACCTGTAGACTTATCCTCTACGCTATACAATCATACCTGGATAGCATGGGCATCTCAAACAGCAAGACAACCTGTTGTTGTCAATCGAACACTTATTCCTTTGTCAAATCTATTACTTGATTTTCCTATTGGTATTGCAGAACACTTACAAAGTACCATAGATTTTTATCTTAGGACCGGCAGATTACCAAAACTTACTGATGTAGTCCGTAAAGAAAAACACTCATCAATATCTATCTCTGGTCTTGATGTAGTCGGCTGTGGATACGATATCATAGAACTTCAAAGTAAACAATGTCTATTCGACATGACTTATAACCAAAATAAGCTCTGGTCGAATGTTTTCAACGGTCATAGATCATATCGAATTCCCGATGGATATTCTGTTACGGGAATACGGGAATTCAACTCGACATACAACACTCATATATTTGATAGTTACGACAAATTTATTGAAAATTCTATCTATATGAATCAACAAGACACAGCAAAATTTCTTGGTTTTGGTATGTCGTACAAACATAAGGATATTGTCACACGACTTCAAAATATATATAAATATCATTTAAAACTTGCATGGACAAATCGAAAAGTTCTTTGGTATAATCTCTCAATTGTAAATTTAACTATTTCACCACTAAATTCTGTTGCGAAGACGGCTCTAAATGATTTACCATCAATCTTCAAGAAAGAAGATTTTCAAAAAGTTTGGAAAATATTTTTTGATACTTATGGTACTCATTATGTGTCGAGTGCAGAATTTGGTGGTATGATATGGGCTGAGGATTATTTTAACCAATGTCTAATCACGAAAAATTCAATACAATGGATTAAAGATCAAATTAAACGTTCTTATTGGTTTATTTCAACAAGTGAATTTAACAGTTTGTATGTACCTGTAATAAATCAAGACTATTTGCAATATCGTATATCGACAATGTATGTAATTGGTGGAGATAATAATTTGAATTCTTTTCAATTTAAGAAATGGATGCAAAGTATCAAAGATAAGCCGAATGCAATTACCTATAGCCTTCTACCTATCTATACACTTCTACCTCTGAATACACAAAAACGAAAGGCATTGGAAGAGGCCACTCTTTATATTCGACTGCAAGCAGTAAATATGACGAATGCTTATTTAAATAATCTACAATCCGTCGATTGGTCAATTCCAAGTATAAAGTGTTTTTCTCCGTGACAACGTTGAAGTCAAATCTCATTTCGAATTATATAAAAATATAAATTCTTATGGGATGACCTATTGTAAAAGTTTATTAAATTAAATAAATATAACTATCAAATAGAATGAGTAGATAGATCAAGAATGTTTGTATTTAAGTTTGAGCAACTTATCAGTTAATATTGTCAATGAAAAACAATGTTGAATATTAACTTGATATGTTTCAAAAAAAAAACGATCGATGAATATCGTAAGTGAAATGTAATATTTAAGTTCATACTCACTTAAAATGTGGTCGAATGATAAAAAAAAACTCTTGTTTTAGTTAATTGTAATAAGAATTTAAAACTTTTTGATTGGAACAGACCAAATAAACTAAAATTCTTTCTCTGTACGTTCTAAAAGTAATTCTTGAAATACTACAGAACCACTTTATGGCATATCTCATTCGATAGAGTATAGTAAAGTGATCAAAAGCTAAAAATATTATCGACCATCAACACTTCCTCGAGGTGTCATAGCCGTTTTTCTTTACACCCTAGCAAAAATAGAAACAATGCATACCTCAGCTTAGAGAAGTCGTAGAAGACTAATAGCTTTTCGGAAATAGTTATAGCCTGAAAATTTCAGATTTGAATCATATTTTTTTCATGAGATATAACATCTTCTGTACACAACGGTTTCTCTAACGCAAAAAAGTACTTAAAATAATGTTTACATTATATTGAACAAAGTTAAGTTGAAATCAACTTTTAATCTAAACGTACCGTTGTTTACATTTTCTTGAGGCTTTTAGACTTAATTATCTTCTTTTCACTCCATCTTGTATACAAGGAAAGGAACCAGAATATTCAATTTACTTGGACATAGATATTTGTGTGAAAATGAATTCCCTACTGACTAATTTTTGTTGTTTGTAATCTCTATTTGTTACCATTAGTTTTCTATACAATAAATACGGATCATTGATTATTTGATCAGAACATCTTCAAAGAAAACATAGAAAAATGCTTATAGAATTGTACATGTACTCGAAACCGGTTTTGTCTGCAATTCTTCCAATTGATTGATTGAAGTGACTAAACGAACGAATTCATTACGATATAATGGTGTATTATATCGTTTTGAAAATTGTTCTCGTATATCAAGATATTCAGATTGCCAATCTGGTCGAAGACACTGACCATAGAGAAGAAGTTCAGTACCACATTGAAAATCATATATTTCCTTTAATTCATGACGAATTTTATTAGCATCAAACCAATCGATAATATCTTTCGAATTCCATTTTTTAATTGATTTAGAATTACGTACAGATACTTGTGTTATCTCACCATTGGATTGATTAGATTTTTCATGATCATCTTTTAGTAATTCTTGATTCGATTTGTCATTCTCATTAGGCTTTATTTCAACAGGTTTAGAATCCTTATTTTTTGAGTTTTTCTCACTTTTATCTTCGAAAATAAGTTTTATGAGATCTTTGATTGTTGCTTCAAAAGGTTTTTTACCAAAACGAATGTATTGTGGACCAACAATACGTACACCTAACCAACCACTAGCAACGAAATCTCGAGCTACGTACACGGGTATAAACTTTTTTTTCAATGAATCTTTCGTATACATCACTTCTTGACGACATGATTTACTGTTTTGATAATCTTTTGTCATGAGAAAAAGTATTATATCAGATTTTTCAATTGCTTGACCAATTTCTTCCCATAAATCTTCTGTATGACAATAAGCAAAGTCAACCCATATATCAAAAAGATTTTCTAAAATAGACACAAAAAAAAAAAAAAATGTTTCACTCATACACACTCAAAAAAAAACACAAATGGAATAAAATTTCTTTGATAGAAAAATTCTATGATTAATAATTCTTATAGGTTCAAACATTTTCGAAAGATTTGAAATGAGATACACGTAACCTACTAAATTCAATATAACGGAAGAGATCCTCAAGAAAAATATCATATGAATAAATATATATTTTTCTTTGAGAAGAATTATGTTTCATATCGATTGTCTGGAAAATAATTTGAATAGTTGATTGTTCATATAAAGTATTTTTCCATAAAATATTACCGTAACAATAAAGATAGATGGATTTTTATGGAATAGCATTTATTCTATTGTTTTTTTGGAAGCTTTCATTCTGTTCAGTTAGGAAGTTTCTAACTATGCAAAATGTTCTCATTTTATTTTTTACTAATTTATACATAGCGTCAATGTTGTTGACTATTGTTTTGTCCATAAACAGGTCTCATGGTCATTAGAATGTCCTAATAAAATAAACGCTTTTTTCTGAAAGTATTGAGTTTCTAAGAAGCTAGATTTTTTGACCTTTATCTTTGAAAATTCAATATCTTGAGAAAGAAACGTCGATTTTAGTGACCATGATGGACAAAATTCTATTGTTGACCTTCCATATAAATACTATTAGCAGAGGTTGAAAAAACAGTATATTGGGACGAATCTTTCCGAGCTTTTGCTAGTCTTACTTATGGACAAAATATACGCTCGATCGGCGATTAACATTTGGAGAGGTTCTCTCGTTAGATATTGATGACTGTGTCGCCTAACCATGAGCAGTACACTTTCCCAGATTGAAGAGGAGTGATATTATTCTTTCTATGATGTCAATCATTTATTTACTCAAAAATGTTCTACAAAATAGTATACATATGTCAAGCTATTTATATTGTAAGAAAAAACAAATGATCTAATAGAATACAATAAATACACCTTAGTGTTTTAGTTTTCTTTTGTGAGATATGAGAATTCGAAATGAAATACTATACTCCAAACTAGGTTACATATACCTTTTCCGAGTGCGTCTACCAATTGATGACAAAAATCACTATCAGCATGTGAATAACTAACCATGACGCGCATTCGTATGTCTTTAACTGCGACTGTTGAAGAACGATTTGTCTGATCGGCGACAATTGGCGTCGACTCCGCTACACAAATTGTTCTTGCTAAATTCAAAATAAAATAGATCAGAGTTTGATGCATTAGTTTTCTAACCTGGATTATTTTCATCGAGATTCCATAAAATACCAGCGGCAGCTTTTTTCACTGATGACATATGTTTTGGTACATATTGTTCTACCCAAGCTTCTCCATCGTCATTAGCAAGACTTTTGATAGTAATAAGAAATTTTCCATTCGATTTAAGCTCGTCAATATATTCGTCATGAAATGAAATACTCCAAATGATGTTCATCAAAGCTGTTAAAGTTAATTGATCGAGTTCATCATCTTTGGCAAGAGCACCTCGAAATTGCATTACTAAATCACAGAAAAAAACGATTTTTGAAGATACTTTCATATTTTTGACTTGAGATTCTTTAATGCAATAATGTAATATGTCATCGTGAATGAAAAGTTTTATGAAAACTACTAATGGTTCACTAATATCAAAATCCCCATATTTATGATTTTTTTTCTGTGCCGTATTGACTGTCATTTGCATAAGTTGATCGAGTACTTTTCCTAATGATTTTGCATCGCTTTTACTTTCTTTTGGTTCTGTTAATAATGCTAATGCCATAGAAAAAAGTAAACGTATGTCTTCGTAAGTTGTGTCATTAATAGTTGTATCTAAAGTTCGTTGTTTGAATTCTTTTAGTAAACGAAGAGCATCAGCTCCATTTAATGCATTACATCCTTTTTCATGTCGTGCAATATTATATAAGAGACGAATACTAGCTCGTTGAATAGCAAATGGTAATTCACACATATTAATCCATTTGAGTGTAAATGAAACACAATTTGTATTGAGTAATTGTGGTATTAGAATAGTATTATCGACTAATGTCCAAATAAATTCTAATATTTCAATAATTGTTAATTGAATATCATTATTAGTCTCAATTAAATTCATATCTACATATTCAAATAGAAGCTGAATAATTGATTCTTGATTGAGTAAATCATCTTTTTTGAAACAAATTTCTTCTTCAATATTTTGCATTTGAAGTAATAACATACGTAAGATATTAGCTATATGTGACATAATTTCATTGTTAGATTGATTTTTAAGAAAATTTATAATCGATGGAAGTGATAGGAGTTCAAAAATACGAAAGAATTTATCACGAGCATAGAGTGTATCATCTCTAAAGATAGATTGAAAATTAATAGTTGCATATACTTTCATAACACAGTTAAATATTTGTTGAAATTGATCACTAACAAGAATATTGACATATTCAATTAATGAAAGAAAATCAGTGATGTATATTTTCCATATAGTATGAATTATATCAGAAAGTGTTTTTGGACTTTCGATATAACGAAGTGATTTTAATGAAGTTAAAACTGATTCAATACAGGAGAGAATTTTTGGATCGATAGGATTATTATTTGTGTTTGATTCATGTTTTAAGATCTCTTGATGGAGATTGGTCAATGTTGTGAATAGATCACGTGATATTTGATTTGGATCAACTGTTTTTGATGATTTGGACATTGGAATTATACGATTGTGTTTAATAGAATTCGTTTAAATAAAGATCGTCGTTCGTTGAACAAACTAAAATCAATGAATCAATCGGTATTGTCAAAATTTTGCTCTATCAAGTTGTTAATGAACTGAAAACAACCTATTTTCCAAAGACATACCTCTACTGAATCAAATTTTCATTAATCAAATACTTTTTGTGTTTTTTGCAATAGACTTAAAAATATGATTGGTTGCTGAGAAAATCATTTCAAAATCTAATTCGCTCAGAAAAATCTCATTGAAATCTTGATCGATGGATCTGTGTCTAAATTTAAAATTTTCGTTACAAAGTTATTTATAATAAACTTTATTGTGCCTTCCAAATTGATTAAATTAAGTGCTAATGTATAGGACTAACATTCAATGAAAAACAATCCCTATTCACATAATATAATGAGTTTTCTATTTCGATAACTTACTTAAATTTGAATAAATTGGAAATGAAAAAAAAAAATAATGTCACTAACTGTATGCGAAACGAACACTACATGCAATCGCTCAGTGCCTGCATTGACATAGAAGCTTTTTTTTTTTGATTGTTTACTTACTTTATCGATCATTCAAAATTGAATGATTCATCTATAGAACAAGAATCGATTTTATTTTAGTTTTTTTTTTTTTATTCAAATCACAGTTGGAGACAAATGAGAAGAACAGACTAAATCGTGCAAACAATACGAAGAATTCAGTGTTCTGTGACTCTTTGTAAACTACTGAGCAATGTTTTTAATAATTGAAATATGCACTCTTGCACTATGTTCTGTTTCTCTCTTGTTACATTATTTGAGAGGAAGCAAAAAAAAACATAGAGACAAAGATGCAATAGTTACCGTTTCTATTAGACTGTTTATTTGTAATGCATATGTTGTCATGGACGTCGATATGAGTGATGAGGAGTCACACATCCTCTTAAAAAAAAAAAAAGAAAAATTGATTCGTAAGATTAAATTCTTGCTTATTCAGAAATTTCATCCTAATTGAATACATTGTATCTGAAAAAAATTTTCAAGAGTCTTTTTAAATTTATGTATATATTTTGATCGTAAATGATAGACTATGTGTATTGTCAAAAATGTGCGTTTTTTCTCATATTTTGGTTTCAAGTCATCTTTGAAGGGTGTATGCAATAAAATAAATGAAAACTTCGCATTGTATTATGTGTCATTTTCTTTATTATGTTACAATATAATTGTTGCTTGACAACTAGAGGTGTAAACCATACAGCTGGGCCGCCACGGAATCGTTTATAGTTTTAAGAATTTTTTAGCCGCTGTCGCTGTGAAAAGTTAGTTCAGCCGTTGCGTCACCGCCGTTGTCATCGATATATATGTGATCGGCAATTTTTTCGTCTTGTAGGAGCAAAAACCGTCTCTTGTTTTTGGTTATCAGAACCGCTGCCGGCGCAGAAAAACATAAAGTCTAGTAGGCGCCGCCGCCCTGGAAAAAAATTTGACCATTAAAACTGCTGCCGTTTGACCCTTCGGTTTACACCTCTAGTGACAGCATTTTGATTACGGAAATCGTCCATTGTTCAGTTCATATTATCTATTTCCAAATCAAGGGTGTTGGTGTGTGATCTTCGCCTCATTCACATCGACTCTCTTATTCAAAAAAAAAGACTAATATCGATCTTTTAATAAGCTTGTTAAAATAAATATGTGTTTGTTGCTAACATATCAACACCAGATGAACATGTGTTTTCTCTAAATGGTCTTTCTATACTCAAGGTATGATGCTGAGAAGGTAGACCACTGTTTAGATAAAAAGCTTGTTCATGATAATTAGTGTCCGTAAATGTAGGCTTTGGCGCAATGTAACAGATCAAGCAGTGAAGATTTGATTGTCGTTCATTCGTATTAACTTGCTCATTTGACAGTGTCAACATCATATCTCCATTTAACACTTGCCAATAGATATAAGTTGTTTGACATTTCAGAAAGAAGCTGTTCTACATAGGATTGTGAAATCGTTAAAAGTAAGACGAAATTATTCTTGAAATTGCTTGATGGAGTTGTAATGGTACAGCCTCGTAGGAATGTAGAAAATGAATGAGTATCACGTTTCAATCAATTCTTTGACAACAAAATCTTGATATGCAGAACTTGACTTCGAACCAAATTTACTTTCAGCTGTCCCGACTTTCCCTTGATGTGGTGGTTTTTGTTATACGATGTTTGAAAAGTATCAGTATCACCATCGAGCCATGTCATATAAATATGCTCAATATAATCCAATGGAATAAGTTGAGGTAAATAAGCTTCCATTGCTCTGTGAGAATCAACTTCGAGCCAACTATCAAGAAAGGTTCAAGAATACTAAATACATGCTTGTTTGTTCCTAAATCTTTATCTCGTATATAGCCAGATTCGAATGAACCTTCATGGAAGCCTGAACTATTTCAGTTGTTTTCTTATGAATAACATTCATATTATTGTGTAAAACAAAGAATTAAGTCTGAACAAGAAGCCGAAGTGGAAATATCGGATGATAATATTTGAGTTTCTGTCATATCCTCACCCAATAGTATTTTTAGAAATCTATTTTTCTCATATTGTTTAGTAACCAAAGCAGTGATATATTTCTTGGTACTTTTAAAGCATCAATTCGTCGTATTCGACTATAGTGAAGAATAGAGTTGGCAGTAAAACTGAAATCGTTCAATGCTTCCATATACTCTCGACTTATGACGTGGCCATGAATGAGAATTGATCCAGATTACATCTATGGACAGGCTAAACAGTATGTAACCAGTCGATAATCTCTTGTAGTATCGAACCAGATGGTAGTTGTTCCCAATTTTCAAGCTACGCATAATCCACAATGCGTGCTATGCTGTTCGATTGATTTTGAAGAAAATTAATATTTCTATTTAAATGATAAATAAAAGGGAACGAAGCCACTATTTTGTAGTGTTATCGTATGACGAAATTTAGCTAGATGGTTGGGATCTCGACGACTATAACATATTTACATAGAATTCGAATGCTACGAATATTTAAATGTTCTTCTTGCAAAAGTTTTGCATATTCTATGCCAAATATACAAAGAGAACGAAGTACATGAATATACTTTTCCAAAGGTAATGGTATCTGAATCGTACAATTACGTCCGAATGGACAAACATGAGCATATTCACAGCAATGTTCCTCGACATCTTGTGAGAATTCACCACTCTCGGGTATTTCTAATGATTTATTATGTAATGTACAGTGATACTGAGTGAGCAATTGATGCAATAACTTTCATATTTACAGTTAGGCTGACAGTGATTATAATGAGTCTTATTACTATTCTGAAAATGTATACATTGATACATGACGATATTCTTTTTTCATAATTTTGTGTCGTATTTTGACAATCGCCTTCGTCTGGACAATATAACGGATGTTGGAAATCTTAACCATATTTTTTTTTATGGTCGATATCTGAACATTGATCACCATATCTACACCATTTTCGTTGAGCTGATGAAGCCATAGAAAAAAAAAACGTTATATTACCAGACTGATGGATTTCGTCGTTGGTTTTTTTTGTCTTAAAAAATAAAGTAATATATCTTTTTTTTTCTATCAGTAATACTTTTTGTAGGAAAGAAGAAAAAAAAAGTGAAGAATGTTCCAACAATCTATAGTTCCTCTGAACATAAGACAACGATTGAGAAATTTTTCTTCGAAAGTTAAGAAAAATCTGATACGGCATTTAATCTTTATCAAGAAAACTTTTTTTGACATACAATTTTGATGATTATCAGTTTATCAAACTGTCATTAATTGTGGCTTACATCCACGATCACATATTTCTTCCATTGTGTTCAGCCTGCGAAAATCTTATGGTCGTTTGATATGATCATTGGTCCTATTAAAATCTCAAGAAATGTAGACTTTAGAAGTCCTTGTTGGCCTAACAGATATTTCCCTTATGCAAATGCATCGAAATGTTTATAGTTTGTAAAGAAAAAAAATAATGTAGGATTCTCGAGAAATGATTAGATCGTTGAATGGCATAAGTGTGACCGATAAGCAGCTTGAAATTCTTTCAAGAATTTGATTCTATTGATAATATGAAATATTTCCAACAAAATATCCATTTATCCTATGTTTCTACATGGAATATTTATTTACCCTTAATTAGTGTCGGCGCCAGGCTACTAGCGCCCCTCTTGGTCTGAGGGGCAGTAGAAAGTGGCGCCTCTACAATAAGCGTTGGTTTATCAGAGATACCAAGCACCAATAGAGCAGTGGCAGTATCTGTTGTTCTCTACAAAGCAAGAGAGTCGCTGTAGTTCTAGTGCCGTTCTTATCTACTCTGTTGATGCTTGATATCCCTGATAAACCAACACTTATTGTAGAGGCGCCACTTTCCACTCCCCCCTAGATCAAGAGGGGTGCTAGTAGTCTGGCGCCGCCACTACCCTTAATATAGAGCAAAGAACAATATCAAGAGTAAGTCTGATTTCTACTGGTGATCCTGTTTATTTCAGGAATATGATTGAATTCACTTTGCTTGAAATATTCTCCGAAATGATGCAATATTTGACTAAAAGCAAAAAAGCCAGACATATCTGCAAAGTAAACTTGAATATGAAGACTAATTGTCATAACTCGTTGTTCTTTATTATCATTGACGAACTGATAGAAAAGTAACGAACACCGAGAAGAAAACAATGTCGTGAACTGATAATATTCGAAGCACACGCATAAAAAAAAAGGCTGATGCAGAACATCGACTTTTCTTAAGCAAATAGGAATACGGTTTATTTCTTAAATCGAATCAGTTTTCACTTAGGCCATCATCTTTAACAAAATAAACAATTATTTCATGAAAAAAACATTTCAGCAAAATTTCGTTTGTGGAATACCCTTGTTACAATACGCATTGATATTTTTATTGTTTTTTTTTGTTAGAAGTTACCATGACGTATTGATTACAATAAAAAAAAAAATCTAATAAATTATATTCTCAAAGTCAAGCTATCGATTGAAGCAATCTAGGCGAAATAACATAAGATTAGCCTAATCCGTCTTAGTATAATAAAAAGCATTAAGCAGAGAGAATAAGAAAGAGACAACTAATATAAGATTACAAGTCGAATATGATGATGATGAAGATGCTTTTGAACATCCCTCTCTAGTTTTATAGGCACCTAAACATGCCGCATAAGCCATTTTGTGCGCAATTGTATGTTGTTCGAATGTACCAATAAATAGATGACTCCATGATCCATGTGCATAAACTGGAACATCTTCACCACCATGAGTTTCTGCGTCCATAGGTAGAGCTGCCGGTGCAAGATAATCTGTCGAATTTATGTTTAATGAATATAAATACGTGGCATTTCGAGACGAAGGAAAATTGGGTCCATTTCCATAGGTGATGATATTCACAGGTAAATCATCAATATCACTTACATTCTTGTTTTCTAATGAGCCAAAACCTAATATATTTGAACCACGTGAAGAATAAGCACCAATTGAAAATACATGTGAATGATCAGCTGTAACAACAATGAGAGAATCATCGAGAACACCTTTTGCTTGCAAGAGTCTTTTGGCTTGTCCAATAGCATTATCAAATTCGACAAATTCATCAAGAGCATTTCTTGGCTTTGTATCATGATGTGCATGATCAATTCTTCCACTTTCAATAAGAAGAAAAAAACCTTTATCAGATTTCAGAAAATGTTCAATAGCAAATTCAGTCATGCGTGATAAACTTGGTTCATCATCATTACTCTGACTTCTATTGAATTCATAGCGCATATGACTTGGTTCAAAAAGACCTAACAATGGTTGTGGTGAACCTAATTCGAATTTATTCATTTGAGACATGTTCCAGATATATTCTCCTTTCCAAAATTCATCAATAAGAGATCGATTGTCAATACGAGATCCTCGTATTCTAGGATATTCAACATCAAATGTTGTTGTTGGATAGAAAAGTTGACGACCACCACCAAATAGCAGATCTATTGGAGGAGTCCGAACAATAAGTTGATGAGCGATATCTCTACAACCTTGTGCTGAATGGCTTGCATTGAAATTTCTACCGTCAAAACTTTCCCAATTTCGTTCAGGTATATGTGCATATGCCGCAGCTGGTGTTGCATGAGTGATACGAGCAGTTGTTATGATGCCAACTTTTTTGCCTTCGAACAACAAAAGCAAGACAAATATTTATAGAATTATCAGATTAACAAAAAAAAAAAAAAAACTCACCTTCGTTCTGTGCCCAATCCACAATACTGTCAACATCTGTACCAATAGAACTGGGACAATCGCTTCGTTTTGCTCGCCCATCGACTCCAATAGTACCCAGTTGGGCTTTAACACCACATAAATAAGCAGTCGCTGTCGCTGCTGAATCTGGTGTTTGATGATCAATATTGTATCTAGATAGAAAAGATATATATTTGTTTGAAAATGAATATGAAATTTGAAAACTAACGTTTTTGACAAACCCAAATGAGTCAACTGTTCCATTTCAGTCAGATAGTCTTCACCTAATTGACCATTGACTTGTCCTTTACGTATTCTTCCAGCAGTTACCGTTGAAATACCCATTCCATCACCAAGAAATAGAATGACATTTTTTGCTACTCGTGTATTTTCTTTTCGGCCAAGTGCTTTTTCAATCTCCATACGTGCTTGCTCATGCCAGAAAGATACATTCTTCTCAATTGACCAATCTGTACGACCACTATCAACAAGTCCACTAATCATCAAAATAACAAACAGCAAGAGAAAATGTACTAGAAAAATAGACAGAATTGAAAAATTAAAGATGTTTTACTTCGTAACGAGCTACTCAATGATTAAAAAAAAAGATAGGCAAATGAAACAAGCAATCTAAATAATTTCATCCAATGGAAGATCACCTAAGAATTTCTGACAGATAATTAATAAATTTGAACTGAACGAGAAGCAACATTTGATTCGACATAGAATTAAACTTGCTAATTACTTACCCTTAATCATTGTAAATATTTCTGAATGAAAATGTCTGAAAGAGAATGAGTTATAGATTCAATATGTTTTTAAAATACTACTAAAGATTTTTATTGTTACGATTTGTACAAAGATGTTTCTTTGATAAGAATTTTGTCAATGTTTTTTACGAGGTAAAGGATAATAATTCTCTTTTTTTTTTTATGTTTTCTTTGCTTCATTTTTTATGATCGTTTACGCTCATTGCTAATGGATATCTTATCTTAATGTCATTTTTATTATTCGAATTTAGAGTTTCATTTTCGAAAAAAGAAATAAACATGATTATAAAAGTTTTTATCTATAGTCAAAGACATGTCTAATGCAAATCATATTTACTTAATATCGTTGTCTCTTGGTACAGTAATGAATAAAAAGTCACATCTCTAATAGAACTTTCTTTAATCATTATTCTCGTACATGATTTTACCAATCCATAAACTATGCTTCTCTAACGAAAGTATTTTACTGTGATTTCACAATGTTCGTCATCAGCCAAGATGTAGCAAACCATTTGAAACGAAAAAAAAGTCTCGACTAATGAAATAATGCTGTGGGGATGTTCCGTATACTTGATAATCGATTTAAAATTAAAGCTTTTGTGTTAATTCAATAGTAATAAACATAAATAAGTGTCAGGCCCTTGCAGGTTTTTTTGTTTTTGAACGGCAACCAATTACAACTTCTTATCTGATACCGTGAAAACAAAAAAATAAGAAATAGTATCACTACTCAAAGTAACAGAGACAATTCGTCTTAATGTTTATTTTTCTTTAATTTTAATATTATTATTATTCTAATCATTGATCGAACTGACAATTAAGTCTATACATATCAAACAGTCCTCAATGCACTTATCTATATCTAGATAATCTTGCAAACATTAATATTGATTAGTTCCTGCGGTTTTCTTTTTTATGTTGATCATGAGACGCCTGTGACAAATCAATGTATCACTACAGATCGTCTTCATCATCTTGAATATAAATTTGTATGTGTTCAAAAAAAAATTGTCGTTAATAATGTTTAGCATCTTTTTTCCGTTGCTCTAAGATAAAGAGAGAGAACTGAAAAACTTCAACTTATACTCATTATATTCTTTGAAAATATATACGAGTAGAATATGTTGCTTTTAGAACTAATTCTATTTACTCAACTTGTTTTTTGTTTTTTGCTTCATACATGTCGAGTCAAATTCATGTTCGTTTTTTTTCAAATACTCAGACAAAAAAAATATTCTGTTCTATTTTTGATAAAAATAAAAACAAAAATGAATCATTCGTTATAGGTAACGAACGTACGATGTATATTTGATCGTTTTCTCCTTGCAAAGTAATTTACCATCGGTATAATAATTAAGGTGACAGTCACATTTTAGTCTGTATAAGGTATGTTTATTAGCAAAGTATGCTGTATCCTACACACGTATCTTTCTAGTAAACACATAAAAATTGCTAAGCATGTTTGTCCGAATACATCGCATTTTTAATTTTTATTAAACATGAAATGAATTGACGCTTAATGAATGTTGTTTTTAGAGTTTCTTGATTTTTTCAATCGACCAAATGCATACAGCTTCATCATTACATCATGCTACTGGTAAGACAATTTTATTATATAATCATATAACATAATTTCTTTTCTATACTTTAGAACTTGATACTGATATTTGTCATAACATCGATGATTATATTCGAATAGAAATGAAAACACAAAAAATTCCAGGTCTTTCATTTGCCATTATACGAAATAATCATATTATCTATGGTCAAGGTTATGGTTATTCAAATATTGAACATAAAGTACCAGTCAAACTTGAAACTATGTTTCAATCGGGTTCAATGGGCAAACAGTTTACAGCAATGGCTATAATGATATTAGTTGAAAGAGGAGAAATTGAATTAGATATACCAATTAAAGAATATATTGAAGATATACCAAGGGAATGGAAACATATTACGATTCGACATCTTTTAACACATACTGCCGGTATGTCAGATTATCCTGATGATTTTGATTATCGTGAAGATGTTACTGAAGATGATATGTTTGAATTGATTAAGACAATTTCACTTGATTTTAAACCAGGTAAACAATTCTCCTATAGTAATCTTGGATATATAATATTAGGAATATTAATTCGTGAAATAACTGGTGAATTTTATGGTGATTTTCTTCAAAAAAATATTTTCGAACCACTTGAAATGAAAACAGCACGAATAATCAATGAAAGTGATATTATTTTAAATCGTGCTTCAGGTTATACACTTATTGATGATAAACTTAAAAATCAAGAATGGATTTCACCAAGTCTTAATACTTTTGCTGATGGTGCTCTTTATCTTAATATTTATGATATAGTCAAATGGGAAAAAGGACTTAATAGTAATAAACTATTAAAAGAAAAAGCAAGTTTTAATCAAATATGGAGTCCAATTAGATTAAATAATAATACAACTTATCCATATGGTTTTGGTTGGGAATTAGATGAGACAGTCAATGGAATGCATATTGTTAAACATGGTGGAGCATGGCAAGGTTTTCAATCGTATATAATTCGAGTTTTAGATGTGAAAGTAACAGTTATTATTTTTGCAAATGTCGATGCTGCTGATGTAGAAGAAATCGCTTTACATATACTAGAAATATACGATTCACAGCTTGCTCTTAAATCGGATGAAAACGAATAAAATTAAATTAAAAAAGAAAAACGCCATGTAAATTCTCATAAAATGATAGATTGAATGAATTCGATTTATCTGTATAATGAGCAGAGAAAGTCATATGTTTTTCTTTCCTATAGAATTTCTGTTAGACTCAAATTCAAACTTGCTTGACATTCATTTGTTTACATTAATATGCATATCGATTATTTTATCTCGACTGTTCTTTTGCAATATTCATTTTTAGTCTCTTTTTCATAATTATTTCCTAGCGTATTAAATAGTTCAATTTCGATTAACATTTTTGCAAGAATTAATTTGATTTGTTATTGAATATGAAAATAGAACATTTACTTTTTATTTTATCGAATTTTGATTATGATAGACACATTAACCTATTTATATTTTGTTTTTGGATATATCTTATTCGAGATACTTAGAAATATTTTAGTAATAGTTATAGTCAAAAAATTAGAGATTATTTATTAGTTTGTATACTGATTTAATTTTTTTTTTGTTTTCAGCTAAAAACCTTTTAGATGATGAATAAAATGTTTGTATGATTATTATCTTATGAAACGCGAGAATTCAATGTTTATTGTAGTAATCAGATTGTTATCGAAGCTCAGAGACTTCGGTTAAAAAATATATGGACCAGAGATGGACAAAATCGCACCGCGCCTCACCGCGCTTCCCCGCGCCACTGCTCGCGCCTAGGCGCTACGCACATCTCTCTTTCTCTTTGCTCTACCAATCAGTTTCTCAAACTCCACCGAATACCAGGATGCTCTAAGCATGCGCTCATCGAAGCTCAGACTAGTGTAGCGTAGGCGTGAGCAACGGCGCGGGGAGGCGCGGTGCGATTTTGTCCATCTCTGATATGGACTGTCTTCATGTTTGATTATCGAAATTTGTTTAGATTTTTTTCACGATATTTATATCAGATGAAGATAAAAATGATGTCTTTTTCGTAGAATAGTGAAAAGATCATTCAAGGTATGAGATTATACGATTATTATTTTTGCGATAAAATTCGACTTGATTTTTTCATTTAACAAGAAATATTGATTTCTTGATTTTGTTTTTTTATCTAATATTGGTAGTATTAGTTTTATTGTTGTTTCTCGATGCTTATTATATTGTGTTTGCTAATATCTCATTGACTTTTAGATAAATTTTCCATTGTTTTTTTTTTGTCTTTCTCTCTGTAAAAGAATATTTTTGTATGAATAGGAAAAATGATTAAGATTATGAAAGTTGAACATGTCTGATTAAATTCATTCTGCACTTTTTTTTTTATGCAATTAAGTGCGTTCTTTTCTCATGAAGTTAATTCAAGTTGATTTTAATCAAGAATGATGAATTGATAACTGTACGAAACAAATATAAAACATTATCTATTGTTTTTGACTTATGTTATATCTCAGCCTATGGAGGATAAATTTCTACCTAATTTTAATGTGATTCCTTCAGTAAAGATAATCACTTTTCCATCAAAAGAATTCCAAATAAAACTTGCGAAACTATTTTGATTGTGTCCACTTTTTAAGAGTTCTCATCTTTTGGACTCTTTGTTTCACTCTTGTACTGACATCAAAAAATGGTCAAGTTTCAAAGAGACGAGAGAAGCAAAAATATCATCGTATCAAAAATTACAACCAGTTTTATATAGATCTGAATGTACTTTGAAGTTTAAAAGTTCTAAGTCAGTTCAACATATAGCAATGTCATCAGAACTATTGATTTCTTTATAAAACTATCAATAAATGCGGTGATATTCGCTTTCTCCTGTTTGCATAATCCACACAAGACATTTTGGTGAGATGACTAACATCTAAAGCTCTAATAATATTGATCGGTGAAACAAATTCTAAGTTGTCTGCATGTTTCCCATAGAAGTTCAATAATAATACTTAATTTTATCTTAAATTTCTTCAAATCACGACCTTAGAGACAAAGAAAGATCTTTTCTGCACCATGTGCTCTTTTAATAAACCGCTCGTTGAATCTAGATGTGGGTGACACCTTCCTTTCAGTCACAACCGACATTCATATCCACACCCTTCGAGCTACGCACTTTTCAAAATAATTTTCTATTATTTACTACATTGCGACAAGCATCAACCTTTCAGACTAATAATTTCGCTAAGTTTCAATAGGAACTCAAATCTTTTTTGTAGTTTTCACTAGAATACTATGTAGTATCTGTAGGAAAGGAATCATTTAAATTGAAACGAAACATTTGGAGAAATTCTCTTGTAAGCCATTGTATCGTGTAAGATTAGACTATGACATATGTATACATAAAGATAGCAGACCCAGTTATGGTGAAGCGAATGCTATGTTGTTTGTCGAACGACACCTTCGTCGAATTTTTTTTTTCAGTGTTGGTGTGGTATAGAAGTAGGTGTAGGGGAAAATAATACCAACAGTCACCCACATCCTACAGCTACATTGGCATAAACATAAGGATATAGATATAGAAATATAGATGTGAGCTGTAGTTATATGAGTATAGACATAAATATAAGGCTTCAAAGGTAAGACTGGAGGTATAACAGTATGGATATAAGGATCAAGTAAGAAGGATATAGGTATATCTGTACCCATATGAGGGGATGAATGTGGAAAGAGAGTGCATACTTGACTAGGGATGTGTCTGTGTGACTCGGGTGGTATGATGTGCATGAATCTGAGTATTGGCTTTTATGGATGTGAACATGAATGAGTTTTGATGTTGCTGTAGATGTAGTTGTGGTTATGTATAGGATTCTCACGCATGCGAGCAACTACAATCACCGTTTAGGAACAAAAATAGTCGTTTGTACTTCTACGACTAGTGACCTAATGAATCTTATGGACGAAGCATTGGTTTTCGCGATTTACACAGAATCACTAGATATGTTTGCTACAAACAATCTTCATACATCCTAAAACTAACGAACCGCCATGCTATCACCAATATAATTTTAGGGTAAGGCTTTCTACTCAACTTTTAATACTGAACGTGATAGCATACCTGTAGAAGTTGCAAGAAAGAAAATAATACAGAATATCGCATAAATTAAAAAACGATGAATGTTTCGCAGAAAAAAAACATCCTCCTTGATATCAAATTCTTCCGATCTTACACAAGTATTCGCAAGAGTCAAAAGCCATTTTTGCCTGATCAGGCATTCAAGTTAAATAGAGACAACCTTTACGAAATAAAAAGAAAAATCTTACCTAAGTCTCAGTTATAGGACACCATAGAATATAATAATAAACCAAAATAACAAACATGCTCTTCTTCTAATAGAATTCGGGCAATATGTTATCATTTCATACGATGAAAAATTTTGAGAGTTCTAGAAGAAATTGTGTTAGAGTGTGAAAATCTATCAATCTGATGCGACGAGAAACCAATACTTGAGCCTACGCTAGCCTAAAGTAACTTAATCTAGGATAGACTTGTGTGCGGTGCTAGTATTATGTCACAGAGGAAAGAAAAGTAAACAAACTTTACTTGAATAGAAATCATGAAGTTGCACTTCTACATCAGTATACTTATTGAAGTATCACGTAATCACCACTATGTATCTTACGCAATAGTGTACTTCAGATATACTACATACAATGGACTCGCTGATAACATACGTAACAGTTGAAAAGAAATGCATATGTAATCAGAAATACAGCATATATATTAAATGAAATATTCTTCTTAAAGTGATTGAAACAACTAGAAATATACGTAATAATTAATGTTAATATTGGAAGCAGCAGTGACTGCTCTGCAAAGCTTATAGTGCTATACTAAGTTGTAGAAAAATCATCACAAATGTTTGCTTCATAGTGTATGTATGAGTTCAAAAATTTTATAATATGCACTATTGGAACTGGTTGAGTCCTCTCAACCGAGTCAAACCGATCGGTTAAAATTCTTGATTTAGCCGACAGAAAAATGCCGAATAGTAGTTCCTTTGATGAATCTGTTGACGAAATTGTTCTTTTGAGAAAGAATTTTAATTACAAATCATTGAAAATGGACAATTTACAAATTAATGTCCCTTAAGAAAATGTTGAAGACTTCTTTTGATTCACAACATCAGGAATTATTGAAATTATAAGAGTCAAGCTTTGACGTTTTTCAGAATTCTAATAGAGTTTAAAAAATGAGTATACATTGAATGCTATATTGCTATGGTCTATTTTTAAATTTCAAACGAAATAGAAACATTGCAAAAAAAGAGAATGGATTAAGCATATATTAAATCTATTAGAGAAAAGGATAGTCTTTCAGCCATTAAAGTATTGGTCTAATGAATATGAAAAATGTGTTCGTGTCAATAATCAATTTATAATGAGTCTGCTGCGAAACTGTATTGAATCTTTATTAGATTATGATGTATTTCATATTTGCATAGTATCAATTCATCAAGTGCCAATTATAAACTTTATAAGAACGATTATTAGATCTTTTATTAGTTGGATTACCATGAGAGCTCAACGTTGATGCCGACCTATCGAATAATTTTGCATTTTATACAGTATTTTTCTTTTTTTGAAAAAAAAATAGGATCAGCATTTTAATTACAACTGAAAATCTTTGCTTCATATAGAGTAGGACGATAAATTTTTAATAAATATCGAATGCACAAATTATTGTATGCGTTTTCCATTCTCGCGCTGATATATTTTCCAATGGATATCAATCCAAAATTAGTATCTAGTTTATGATACTAGTCTGGCATTTTTTAAAGCTCCATCGACGAAACTATCAATTTTGAAGTTCTTACATCATTTTAATTCCGTCAATAATTATAAACATGCTTCATAAGACTGATTAACAAATGAATAACATCGTCAGAAAGACACAGTCTTTTCTATAGTAACTAAACTAATTAGATAATTAGACTCAAAGTTCAGATTCTGGTGTAGACAAGTAACATTCTAGTATCTGATCGATTCTTTTATATAAACGATTGACACGATGTGTAAGACATTCAAATTTGTTTAAGTAATACTGTATTGTGCGTTGTTTTGGAGCCTTTTGACGATCACAGGCAAGTCGTCGAACAATCCGTGGTCGATAGAGACGCGTTTGATATCGTTGTTTACGTGGTAACATTAACGAAGTTGGTGCTAATAGAGAATTATCAGACTGATTAGTTGGTGGTGTTGGAGGAACTTGCCGGTCAGTGAAACCAAATGAGTCACACTGAAATCCGTCCGATGTTGTCAATATCGTAGTTTCTTGTGCAACATTATAGTTTGAAAAGTCACTGTCTTGATCGGACGTACAAACTGATTGAGTAAATAAATTCTTGGATGATTCTGAGACAAGGTCACATCTGGGAAATATTCCCGAAGCAAGGATTGTAATCGAGCACTTTAATTCATTTTGAATATCATCTGTACTAAGTATCTCGATTTCTTCTTCATTTGTTTCGTGTAAATCTTCTGAAAAATCGTCAATTATATGTTCTTGTTCTTTGAAGCTGTTTAAACTAGATCTTTCATCATAGGCCATCAATAATTGTGATGGTGATAGACAGTGATAATCATTTTGCAATAGGTCTTGTTCATAGCTAAAATCAAAATAAACAAGCTTAAGTTCAAGTACTCATAGCATTTAGATGATATCAGTTATTCAAGTGAGAACAAGAATTTGATGAAACTATCATTAGTTATAAACTTTGTGTCGAAGGCATTATACATATATATCTATCAATGTAACACGCTTCTAAATATTACGACAATAGCCTAATCATTAAGCTTTCAGAAACTTACTATTTCGTGTGATGAGTGAAGAAATTTTTAATTCTTTCAATTGCTTCTGTTGAAGAGATTTTACGATAAATCTGTACAATTTTGCGTGGAATATGTCTGTTACTTAAGATATAAGTCACATATCGTTGATAGTTTTCTTGAAATCGACCTTTACACTCAAAAAGAACACATTCTTCTTCTATACAGACATTACACCAATGAATATCCATAAGTACAGTATGAAAGCAAAGTTCTTCTAAAAATATCATCAACAACAAATATATTAATCAATAATAAGAGAATAATTATATGTCATCGTACTATCAATATTTCATACAAATAAAATATGGTCGTCATGAGAACGAACACAATATCAGACACCTTTCTTATTTGAATGGCACATAAATGACAGAAGTGACCATAGATTGTTTCATTCTGATACAAAGCGGACCTAGAATTCTTTTTTTTTCGTTCTTAGTATTCGTGACCGTTTGAATGCAATTACTTGTTCTGATCGTATGAATGGCTACGCTATTGTGTTATAATGCATAGAAGACGTATGTATTCTTTTATAAGTGTCTCAATGGGTTGAACTCAACTTATTGTAATGTAGTTCATGAGCAAAGTTTCGACTAAAAATTGATATATTCTTATTGCGAGATATTTTGGAGAAGACATACTTTTTTAAATATCTTTGTTGGCCTCATGTTGTTCAATTGTCTCGAAACATGGAGAAAAAGAAAGATAAAAATTTTTCATTCATACTGATGAAATATTAAATGAGTTCTTTTTAGTCAAGCAAATATAGCCTTCCTTTTAACTTCTATCTGCAGCTGTATCGCAAGCAATGACTCTTTCTAATATAATTTTAATTATAATTTTTTTCAATTAAAATGATATGATCCTTTCGTTTGGAAAAAATATTGATTGTATGGATATTATTAGAGTTTCAACTTTCGTTTCAAAAATTAGTTTGTTTAGAGTAGACATTGTTCTTCTGCTTTTTTTTTTGCTTCAGAACTCATGTAGAATAAATGCATAATTCGAGTTCGAATATAAATGAAACTTTTTGAAAAAAATAGGAGCCACAATAGACAAAAAAAAAGACATTATTTTCATTATGAAATATAATTCAGATATCGTTTAACATTAAATATTTGACCGTATTATAACACATAGGCACTATATTACTTTTACATTATCAAAATTGAAATCTATCACTTGCAATAATGGATTAAACTTTCGAAGCAATAATCATCTCCCAAAGTATTGAACGAATACTTCAAGATCAAATAACTAAGGAACAGAGAATCATAGGTGTTCGCATCAGAGATGGACAAAATCGCACCACGCCTCCCCGCGCTTCCCCGCGCCGTTGCTCACGCCTACGCTACACTAGTCTGAGCTTCGATGAGCGCATGCTTAGAACATCCTGGTATTCGGTGGAGTTTGAGAAACTGATTGGTAGAGCAAAGAGAAAGAGAGATGTGCGTAGCGCCTAGGCGCGAGCAGTGGCGCGGGGAAGCGCGGTGAGGCGCGGTGCGATTTTGTCCATCTCTGCTATGAAAGACATAGATGAAGAAAGTAAGTGTTTTCTTGCAATTCTAATACATCAGTGCGATCCTTTATATATTTCTTTCCGTGTCATCCTCATTTGCTGCAATATGTGTATGCATCTTCTCTGCTCTCATTCTCAATTAGGCCTAACTCTCTGTGAATGTTTCCGCCGTTGCATTCAAGATAGTAATGATTCTATAATTGAAATCTGAGCAGTAATCAACCTGTTATTTTCATGCATGAAGCAATTATTCATGATTCACGATGTCTCGTAGGCTTATCGCCCGTTGGAGCCAAGCACTGTTCGAATTAGTTTCTCCTATATTCGTCAGTCTTGTGATAGGTGAAACAAGTTGTGTTCACTGCTTCCGCATCATTCTAGGGTGTGGATGTTAGTATGGATGAAGAGAAGACTATTCCTACACCCATCCATACCCACAATCTTCCGGTGCGCAAGTTTCGTAGTATGCAACTTTTCGTGCGCAACTTTCGTAGACCCGTTTGTTGATATCTGGTTTTGAAAAGTGCTGTGGTTTATGAGTTATTCTTATTTAATGTAAATATCAACTTAATTGTTTGCTTAAGATTAGAACATAAAATAGATAACGGTTTAATAAGAAGACGACATGCATTTCTCTATTTCTGCGTTATTGTTCGTTGTAAACTTGTTATGGTATCATCTTTTATGCTTAGTATTTGGTTTTTGACATTGGTCCCAGTATCATATGGTCTCAATGTTTTGATGATTACTCTCGGTGCTGCAGGTCATGTTATTCCAATGTTTGAATTAGCAAAATCAATGAAAAACCATAATGTAACATTTATTACGGCTTTGCATGCTCAATCCTATATAAATTTTGAATCATATGCGAAATTATCTTCATTTCGCATCATCTATACGAATGATTCGACTGATGCATTTATTAATGAAAAGAAACGAGAAAAACAAGTAGTTGAATATTTTATGAATCATTCTCTTTTAGAAAGTGTAGATTATATGATATCAAGAATAAGTCCAGTTATTAATACTTTAATGACCAAATCAGTCAATTTATTAATGTCGGAACGCTACGATGTGATTATTGGTACATCATTAACGATTGGTACACATCTTCTATGTAAACAAGCAAATGCATCATGTGTAATAATAATTCTAGAAAATCAATTAAATAGATTTGATGTTAATCAACCTATTAGCAACTCATTACTATCATCAAAACATTTAACCGAATTGAAATATCGTATTTATAATTTTGTTTTAACTTTACGTTTGACAATCCCTCTTTTTAAAACAGTATTTAAAATGTACTACAGAATTTTTCATTCGTATCCTCAAGTGCCTGGACCATTTTACGAAGTATTTACATTAAGAAACATATTACGGACTAAATCAAATTGTTTGAAATTAATCAGTTTACCACCAACGCTCTATCCGCCATCATCTTTATATCATGATACGAAATATCTTGGCGGATTTGTGGATAATTCATCAATTGAATATGTTGAAAATGATCTTACAAGATGGATTAAATCGAAACCTCCGAAGTCTATTGTTTATGTGGCTTTTGGTAGTATTTCTGTACTTAGTCAAGTTCGAATGAAGAATTTAATATATGGTCTAGCTGAATTTCTTTTACAAAAAGATTCGATTTCCGCCTTATTAGCATTTCGTAATACGAATTATGAAAATTATCAAATTGTACTAAATGAAATGGAACATGATCAATATCGACAGGTATTAATGAATGATCAACGAGTAAAAGTCGAAAATGGTTTTATTCAACAAAAATGGCTTTTACAACAAAATTCAATTAGTATTTTTATAAGTCATTGTGGAATGGGTTCAATTGTAGAAGGACTTTACTTTGAAAAACTTATCATATGTTTACCATTATGCACAGATCAATTTTCAAATGCAATTTCAATCTATCATTCAGGAGTTGGAGAATCATTATTTGTACCACCATCTCTATGGAAATTATTTTTAAATCCACTTGATTTTCATGATTATGTATTTTCAGCTAGTGATGTTACAACAAAACTATTAGCAATATGGAGAAATACTTCATATGAACAAGCAGTTCGAATGATGTCACTCGAAATAAAACATGCTGGTGGTGTAAGAAAAGCAGTAGAAGAAATTGAACATTTTGTCAATTTGAATGGTAGTTTAGATCGGTATAAACCATTTTACAATACACTTCCATTCTATCAACGATATTTACTTGATATAATATTTGTTTGTATTATTTTACCTTCAGTGATCATATATTATTTATGTGTGAAATATTGTAACAGAAATCGAAAAGCAAAAAAAGATTAATCAATAAATATTTGAAATAACATTTAATAGATGATAAAAAAAGAAATATTCATCGAATTCTTACAGGTTCTTTCTCCCGAGGGTTAGGCTGCTGTGAAATCAGCTCATGAAGAAATTATCCCAAAATGACACGCGTAGTTTCAGCTCAAAAGAAGGTATTGGCAAGGCTAGTAAAAGCCTAAAAGGGTTCATTTATATCGATCTTCCAGGCTGACTAATAACCATTTTGCTAAATTCGAGTATGAATGAGGGCGCGGGCGTTGGTTTACTTGTATGTAGGGTTACATAAATTTCGGCCAAGTTCGAAATTTTGGTGGTTTTTCTGGATGAGCCGAAACTCCTAGAGAAATTTCGGCCTGTGACCTCATTGACCGCTAAAATAAAAAACTTAATTTTGTGAAACACCATCTGAAAGGAGTGTAGAAATATATAGGGTAGAACTTTGGAATTCACTTCCCCCTTCCATCAGAGACCGTTACGGACAGGATTTAGAGGCATTACAGACTGTGAGAGACAGCTCTAAAATCCATCAAGGCGTGGGATAGGCGTTTTTGAAACAGGTTAAAAATCTTATATCGATAAACTATCGTTACAATATGTGAACTACTTGCTTACTACAGTTCTAAAGCACTAAGTAAAGAATTGGGAAAAAACATATCCTGAAACAACCAGAAATAAACTATTTCTACTTGTTTATCAACAACAGCTTTATCGTGTTTCACATTTTTAATACCGCAGGGATCGCACTAACAGCTTTTTTTTTCATAGAGCCGAGCAGGACGTCATAATGGGCGTGGATATCAATTAAAAGACATGTTCATATCCTTCACGATCAGATAATTGTAGTCTTTCTTAGATTTATTCAACTGCCATTAATACAAGAGTAATTTTTAAAAAAATGATCAAATAGAATAATTTGATTGTTAATTAACAGTGAAAACTATAAGGAAAAGCAAAGATTTATTTTTTCATAAAAGAAATTCAATTTCTGTGTTGATAGATTTAATCCATTTTTCATTAAATCGAACATATTTTATTGTTTCTCTATTATATGTATAGACTAAATGAATATCATTATCATCACTTCCACTCCAAAAACTTTGTAATAATGATGGATATGAATATTCTCCTATTTGTGTAATATTATCATCATCATGAATTTGAATATTTCTTTGATATGGCCATGTTATTCCATTATCATAAGATAGTGCAACTGTTAATGGTGATCTTGGTTGTTGTGTTCCATTATGATTATTGAATGCTATAACTAACGCTCCAGTTTTTAAAGTATATGCTTCAATACCTGCATTATTATTTGGTAAAGATGTAGATTTTAACACTGTCCATGTTAATCCATCATCATAACTATCAGTATAATATATTGATACAGCATTTCGATCACGAAAAAATGTTCGTAATTTCGAAGAATTAGTCAAACGAACAATTGACGGTTGAACAAGATTAGTAGTCATTGGAATATCAGTACGTGTCCAACTTGAAGTAACAAAATTTGATCGAAGTATAAATGAGTAACCTGAATTTGTTGATGTATTATAACATGGGAAAATAACCCCATCGTTTTTCCACGTAGAAATAATACGATTACGATCAAAAGCACCTGGTATAGTATAGAAAGATTTAGGAATTGACCAAGTTGCACCTAATAAACTAAAATAGCCTTTTCGAAAACAAAAACAAATATCTTTCGTCGAATGTTATTTACCTCTATCTTTACTTTCTACATGCCATATTTCAGAATTTGTTTCACCTGCATTACCTAATTGTGATGAATGATATAAATGTAATATTTGTGTTTCATTATTCCAAAAGAGTACTGGATTTTGATTTGAATAATTAATACGTTCACTTACAATAATACCAGGAGTAAATTGTTGTGATTCAATTTCTAGAATTGATATTGCTATTGAACAATTTGGTGAATTTTCACCACCTGTAAACCAAGCAACTGCTAAAGTACCAGTTGGTGTCATTTGTTCAATAAATGATGCATGATTTCCTGTTCTAGGTGGAGAAAGATATGCATAAGAACTACCATCAGATGATCGATGAATGATTCCATCATAGGAAATTGTTGTACATAATTTTGGTAAATATATAAAGAATAATAGTATGGATCGAAACATTCTTTTGCGTCTGTCTTTACGTATGATAAATAGATATGAAAAAGAGACAAGGCATAATAATAAAAAAAAAAACAGCTGAAACAATTTCTCATATAACTATTTAACATATTCTTTTATGTGATGCCTTTCAATAGAGATTATAATCCTATCTGACTTGATGAGAGCTAATAACAGACACGAAGAAGAAAAAAAAAAGTCATTCCATATTCATAGAAAACTTGTCTATTCTTTGAATTATGAATAATAGAATGACAAAGAAACATATGCAAACTGAAAATATGAAGGTAAGAATGATCGTGTATATCATTAATTATTCAACTATGACCATAATTAGGATTGTCTTGAGAAAATTTTAACCTAGCTTTTATTCACACTACTTCATCGATCGAGAAAACTCAGAATCCTGATGTGGCAGTTGTCACGATCAATCAGACGCATATGTAAGTTTTAAATATTAAATGACCTTAAAATATTTTTCGAACATGTAATCGAATTTATCGTCAAAAGGCAGATGACATAGTAAAACAACGTCCTGACTAAAGTTATACTTTGACTCGGCGCATATGGATATAGTTTAATCGACTTGATCATTTTTGATCAAGGCACGCTTGATTATAAGCGTTATAACAAAGGAGTTTTATCAATTGTCATTCAATGCAGAGATGTCCATCGCGGCTCAAAATCTGCCGCTGCCGCGCCGCGGCCAAAATCAAACAAAGCTGCCGCGCCGCTCCCGCGACGCGATGGCCTGCTAAAAAAAGCTACCGCAACGCGCCTTAAAAAAAACTTGCCGCTGCCGCGCTGGTATTCGAAAAAATGTTTTGATTTTCAAGGCTTTGACTGGTTTGAAATAGAACTGATGCCGCTAATCGATCAGATTCGCTAAGTCTTACAGTATAGCATACATAAACATGCAGATTCTGTGCAAATTCATGAATTTTTGAAATTTTTTCCTAAAAAGCTGCCGCCGCCGCGGCGCGATAGTTTTTGGAAAAAATCTGCCGCTGCCGCGCCGCCACCGCCACGGCGGCAGCGGCGCGATGGACATCTCTGATTCAATGTGACCGTCTTCCATCATTCGTACCAACGAATCAACGGGCTACTGAATTCACCAGGCCTGAATCTATTGGATTAGTGCATAGGCGGCGGAACGTTTTGAATCTATGGTAGGCTCAACATTTTTTAATAAGACCCTGACCGATGGATTAGAAATAGAGGGATAATTTTTTCTGCTATACTGTTCAACTAAACACAATTAATACTGCTTATTTCTAACTCTACTTTTTGGTTCTCAATATGAGTTCATATCAGAGATGAGTTTGCAATTTATTGCAAAGAAATTTGTATTCAAATAGTCACCTAAACTTTTTTCTTAATTGAATATTGACTCTCAAATATAGTCCTTCGGCTGCAAAAATTTTGTATCGGAATCTGAACTGTTAGTCTTCGTACTCTCAATAGAATTCTTTTACTCCCGATTTGATAATTATTTCGAAGATGCTGCAGTTTTTGCGATTAATTTTTCGGTGACTAACACACCTTACACGTTTTTAAAACACTCTTGACGGTAATATATTGTAATAACCAATTTATAACTGGCTTTTGTATGCAGCTAGCGCTCATCAGATCTGAATTCGAGAACTTGTGTCTGGACTCAAATCTGACTTTGGGTAACAGCAATATTTCAGATTCAGACTCAAAACTAGGCTCGGTTACATTCTGAAACTATTTGATGAGCTGCTTTCAAGAAAGAATCTTTGATTCGTATTACTAGAAATTAGGATTATTGCAACGCAATTGTGCCCCCAGAAAAGGGATGTCATTGTGGATTATTATCAGCACGTTGAAAATTAGGGGTGTTATTTTATTTTTATTTTCTTTATAATAAAGAATTTTTTTCCTATCAAAACTTATTGTTTTTATTTTGTTGAACGATCTCAAAAAAAAAATCACCGTATTGTGTAATTAAATATAATGCGCAGTAACATTTTTCTCACATATCGTTTCATGAGTAGCCCCTGTTTTTTTTTTGAAGATATGACATTTGGAAGTGATGATGGTGGTAAAAAAGAACACTCATTAACATATTCTATTCTGACACAGGGTATTTGCATATGTATTTATTACATGAAAAAATATATCTTTATTCTTTATTTCATTAACATAAAGATTTACTTAATCTCTATTTTATAAAAAAATAAGAATTTCTTTATTTTCTCATCTTTATTTTTTAAAGTAAAGGTTATCTTTATTCTTTATAAAATAAAGAAAAATATTATCTTTATCGTTATTTATAAAGTAAAGGTAAAGTAATATCCCTATTGAAAATGGATGCTTAGCATCTGAGATTGACCGCTGCAAGAAGAAAACTTTTGACATTATCCAGTAGATATGACTGCAAGATCCTGTGAAGGTATTCTTCACTTCTAACAAGACAATATGATATGAACTCATTGCTAATGTATTCCACGGTACCTATTCATACGGACCTCAGCTTTTTCCTAAAAGTGTTAGTAGTTGTTAGTGATGACAGCAGAAACTTTCAAGCACTAAGCAAGTTTGTTAATATGATAGAATGAGTAACAACTGTTCACATCTCTCTTAGACTATGAAACTTCGAATATGATGAACTTCAGCTTACTCAAATCTTGTGACTTCACCGCTTGTGGAAGTATACTATTCTTTATTGCTTAAAATTCAAAAATTATTTTGAACAGAACTTTATACCAAAAGTCAAATTATCTTATGTCGAAAATAAACAATTTGACATAGATATAGAGGTCCACGAAAGCCAATCAGTATGCCTCTCTACACGAATTTGTAATAGATAAAATGCACACTGCCATTGTAATAACGCGTCATCTGTTAGAATTACATGCAAATTAACTATGATTAGAAAATTTATATGTCAAACTGAGCCTATTCAAATCTTTATATTTACCAGTTCGAGTCTATCTAAGCCTTTACCTCTCCAACCTAGAGTAGGCTCGTGCCTATCCAGGCCTTGTGGCTCCGCCGCCTATGCTGGATTACAGTATATGAAATGAAATTTTTCAAGGTATGGCATCGTCCAAAATTACAACAAAAGCCACATTGATTGACAAATTAAAAATTGAAACGAGAAAAATTTACAAAAAAAAAGAAGAAAAAAACATGTTTTAAGTAGTTGCGATCATTTTCATGAAATGCTTGTATCAGATTTTGAAAACTTAAAGAGAATATATTCCTAAACCGACAATGCATAGATTATAGACAATTTAACGGAGAATGTTTTAGTAAAAAAAGTCAATTTGAAGGACTGTATTTCGGAGAAGAAAAATTAAAAATATGAAATGGCTCATTTCCGTTAGTCTATATATTCGTTTCATCTACTCATTCTTTATTTGTCATAAATATACCATTATCGAATGTCAAACCTTGACTTTTTTTCTTTTCTTCATCCTATTATCTATTGAGAACGATAAGCATAAATAAATGCGACTAAAACACTTTTATTTTACCTTCTCTGCATTATTTACGAGCAACAGTATAAGGTAAAGATGCAAGAATACTTTTGTTTTTTTCTTTTATCAGTCAAAATATGAATAATGAAAAGTGATCTCAAATAACGACAACGAAAGCAATTTTTTTTACATGTTATTCGTTCTTTCTTAAGTGCTGCTCAAAAATATTTCATAAAAACAAAGTAGTAATGAACTGACTTTTGTAAAAAGAGTTGACTTCTCATTTATATATGAACGTCAATACAAACTTGTTGACTACTTCTTTTTTAAATAGACTTCTTCAAACTCTAAATGAATAAAGTCGATTCAATTTTTCGATTAGGACAGTCTAAACAGTTCTTCGTGATACTAATTTTCGTAATCATTCTGCTCGCATATTTAAAAGTGATACATTATAAGAAATTGGCAGACACTGATGTTAACTACAATACATGATCGACGTGTATACATTTCTTTCAAAAGACGTTTGAATACATGAAAATGACCGCATAGTTAAAATATTTGTTTTTTGTTGTTCGTTTCAGTTTTGCCGATATTTGATTAAAAATCGAACAATTATTCATCAACGACAAGTAGAAATTGAGTAAAACAGCTATTACTATTTCATCACGATAGAATGCAACGGAACAATAAGAATGCTATTTATCTCTTCGTTTTCATATTCTTTCATTTTTTAACATCGATTAAAAGTGAAAATTCTACTGTGTTGAATTCAGAATATCCATGGTTACGCCTTCCACCTACACCTCAACTTCCTTTTCCTGATAATGGTCAATATGCACAGATCAATAATATTAGCATATGGTACACTATTTATGGACCAAAAAATGGTACACCTGTTCTTTTCCTTCATGGTGGAGTTGCTAATAGTAACTATTGGGGATTACAAATTCAACAACTTCAAAGTATTTACAAATGTATTCTAATGGATTCTCGAGCACAAGGTCGAAGTCTATCATCGTCTACCAATATAACATATGATCTGATGACTTCAGATGTTGTTAGTCTACTTGATTATCTTGGTCTCAATAAGATTCATCTTGTTGGTTGGAGTGATGGAGCGAATATTGGTCTTAATCTAGCAATGAATTATCCTAATAGATTATATTCATTGTTTGCATTCGGTGCGAACTATCATACATCAGATGAAAACGACACGTCTATACCACCTGTTTTCGCGGCTTATCTTAAACGTGCACAAGCCGAATATGAAGCATTTAATCCCAATAAGCAATATGAAATTTTGCTCAATGATTTACTAACAATGTGGGCTAATTATCCGAATTGGGTAAAAGCTGATTTTGAAAAAATTCCTTCGAATTTACCCGTTTGGATTGTCGGTGGTGATCATGAAGAAGTTATTAATAGAGAACAACCGGACACGATGGCTAGTTGGATTCCACAATCTGGAGAATTGATATTGCCGAGAACGAGTCATTTTGCATTTATACAAGAGCCTACTAAGTTTACTATAGCTTTAGAACAATTTCTAGCTGAAGTAACTAATACGACAATTTGCTCGAATTATTGTTTTTCATGCATTAACATTTGTTCGAGAATATCAGTCGAATCGTTCTATACTTTAGTGATGGTCTTTGCATTCCGATTGATGCTGGTTAATACTTAGGCATACTATTAATGAACAACTGATGCACAAAAAACGAAAACATCATTTTTTTTTTGTTTTTAATACCTTTTCCAATAGCTTTCCAAATGAATCGTTAAATTATTAGGATAATGTAGGTGTAAGGTTAATGATGAGAAGACTCACACCTACAGTCACCCATACTCTCCCAAAAACCTTGATATGAACTTCTGCTCATCATATTTTCTTCCAAAGTATATGTGAGTTTCACACAACAGGATTTTGAGTAATTGAGAGTATGGATTCTTTTTTTTGCATTCACACCGAATTATTTTATATAACTGTTATAAACAAGAGAAGATTGTTCAATATCAAATCAAACAACAAGTAATGTTAATGAATGGTAGAGAAGCGAATACTATGGGTTCATGTAAATCGTTATAAGAAAGACGACGAGAGTACACTATGAAGAACGTCGCTAATTGAAAGTTTTTATTGTTTGTTATAGAAGGAACGAATACAAAAGTAAAGAAAATGAATTCGAAATCAATTTTAGTGATGGAGAAGTCAAATGACAAGACCAGGAACTGTTTTGTTAGTATTATGACGAAAAATGTTCACAGCTCCAATGACGTTGCCATTTTGAGAATCTTTCTCACGAATTGGAAAAACATTGACAAGTGCCAGGAGACGATTTCCATTCGGTTGTTCACAAATCACATCAGCATTTCTTACTGTAGCTCCATTATTGATTACTACTGATGGTGGTGCATGCTGATGTGGCATAATTTCACCCGATGGATATCGAAGGATATGTGCACCACAATACTTTTCGCTTGTTTTAAGCGATGGTGTACGACCCCAAGCATCTATAGCTGCCTTATTGCAACTGATGACTAGGCCATCGTTTTCGAGAATATAAATACCAACAGGAATATCATCCATTGCACTTTGATCGGCCAATAAACCGTGTGGAACTAGATGATCGTCTTGGATCTCACCCCAGAATTCCAAATTATCAAGCGATCCTGATACAATATCCGATTTTAATTTGGTAAACGTTGACATTTTTTTTCAGTAGTTTCTGCACAAAAAAAAACAGAAAAATTTGATCGAATTATTATTCTAATAAGAAATATACATGAATACACAAAAATAATGTTTGTTCTAAAATGAGAAAAAAAAAAAAAGGTATGCATCATTGCTTATATAAATTTTGCCGAGGTTGTACAGTACATATCGAAAAATAAAATATCGATAACGACATATTCAATTTATGGCCCTTTGAGCGATAACGCTTCACTATTTCTATTACATATTGCACGCATTGATGAAACTGACTCTTTTTTTTTTTTTCGTTCTGCTGCAAAAAAAAACGAAGAAGCGCTTTTTTTTTTGTACCATTCGTAAATGCCTACAGAGAACATATAATGATAAATTAAAACATAGGAACGAAAGAAGAAACTCACAGTGTGTGAATACTGATCTGCGTATAAGTTTGAGTGTAGATGAAGAGAACAAAACCCGCATCGATCCATTTCCTATATTATTTGTTTATAAAAATCGTTTAATTTTTGTGCAAAACTTTGTATGTTTAATATTAAATAAATAAAATCATGTTTATGAAATGTCAAATAAATTTTTTTATTTAAAAAATCGATCATCGATATTTTTGACTTTTTGAACTAAATCGATTTTTAAATTTATCAACATTAAGTTTTTTGAATACAATATGATAATATCTTTGTTTTTTTTTTTTGTTTAATATCGTTATATTTCAATGTTGATATATTTGCACGATCATATTGAATAAGTTTATATAATATTTTTGAACTAATAGACTCAAGAATAATTATAAATCAATTATACTCAAATAAAGAATTCAATATATATATTCATCATTTTCATTTTTGTGTAGATAAAAATTAAATTAAGAAGAGTAGATAAATAAGGTAAATGATCGAGTTGTTGTTGAGTGAGATGAACATATTTATTAGAATTCTCAAAACGAAATGCATACATTATTTCTTTATTTGCCTATTTCATTTACAACGTTTATTTCGTTAAATGAGTAACATTGTTTTTTATTATTGTAACACAGTTGTCTGCACGAATGTAAAAAAGAACATGCGCTTACTTCCTTCGTTGTTCTCCTAGCAATGACTTATATACATGTTGATTTCTATTCAACAGACTTCATACATAAGATTTCATTGAATGTCTAAAGAATAAACTCGACAAATATTTTTTTTTTCACCATTTCCTAAAGGAAAGCTGAATAAAAAAAAGACTTTTCGATTTCTATTAAAATTTATGTAATTCAATCAAAAAATGTGATGGAGAGAGTTCGGAGATGTGCCATTTTATAGACAATCAGTTGCTTCGCCGATCCGGTACTATCAAAACTAGGTTTATGTTTTCGAGATATCCTAGATTTTTCTAGTCTAATTTGTCGACATTAAATCGAGCTGATTTTGCTTCATCTATATATTGTTTTTTTATTAGTATGATCATGATCTACAAATACATCATTATTAACGATTGGAAACAGAAAAGTTTTCAAATTAGAGATAATGACTTTCAAATTTTCGAGTTCTAAATGATAATCTTTATTAAAATAAATTCCAAAGTTTAAAACCATTAAAATTAAACGCCCTTTCATCTCTCCATGTAAATGTATAATTAAAATTTTCAGAAACAGGTTGTTCATTATCGTGTAAATATATTCAAGATTCGATAGTTTTATTTTGAACAATTTGTTTCATGGTAGGTAATTAAAGTTGTTGTTTGATTTTCGAAACAAAATCTATTTCATGTTTGGAATTTGAATTTCTATTGAAATACTTGATCAGAAGGTGTAGATGAGTGAGTTTCATCTATATCAGATAACAAACATAGTTATCTGATATTTCATTTTTTTTTTCGTCGTTTCGTGGCGAAATGACTCAGAGCATTTTCAAGCCGTTTTCTTTCATATTGTTAGGTTTCATTTTCACTATTGGAAATAGATTTTTACCAATAATTTCGATAAGACGAAAAATGCTATCAGTAATGAACACAATTTTTTCGAACACTTAAAATAGAACAAAATTGTTCTTTTTTTTTTTGTGAATAGCACTTTCGGTCAAAGAATTTTGTTCTGTTAATCAATTCTTATCAAAACAAAGAAAGACATCAATTTTGTTTTATTTGTTATATGCATAAATTTTATAATTAAAACTCAAATATTTAACGATGAAAAGCGTTTTTGCCTGTTCATTCAACTGTTTGTTTATTCAAGAATGATGACTTTCGCTCATAAATGTGTGCACAATGAATTCTATTTTGATGTTAAGTTTCTTCAAATCTTGAATAGAATGTTTTTTTGAAATTTTTAATCGTCTAACGACGGAACATTCCCAAGTGATTCGCACGTTTTGGATACATCTTTTGTTGGTATATAAGGCTCATTATATATATATATATGATATACCTAAAATGGTTCGTACCATTGCTGCACGGTTTCAAAGTTATGAGCGAAATATCTACTATGACCTAGATCGAGAAGTACGGGCGGGTTCCGATGGGAAAACACCGGAAATCTCTGGAACTGAATGGCAGTATTCCGAGTGAAAAATTGTCGGATTTTTTCCGGTAACTTCCTGCAAGAAACGGAGGGAAGCTGACCAGAAATTCCAGAAAAAAATACGGAGAATTTCCGACCGGAATACTACCACCCTGTTCCGGCGACTTCAAGTGTTTTCCTGCAGGATCCGTTCTCCGGAAATATTGATTTAGGGATAGACGCTGCTACCATCTATTTAGTAATGGTTTCTATTTTCCATATTGTAATCGAAACATATTTCTTAAAACGTTTTTCATTCGAACAAGCTGAGACAAGTTTGTATGATAAGTCTCTATGGAAAAGGCTATCTCCTATAGTTAAGATACGAAAGGAAGAAAAAAACAGTGCATAGAAAGTGGCACCATCTATCATAGCAGTTGTTTCGCTCATAACTTTGAAACTGTACAGCAGTGGCACGAAGCCTTACAGGTATTTGATCTATATGATGAATATCACATGCCAGCAAAAGATGAGTCAAAACTGTGCGAATCACTTGCAAAATGTTTCTTCGTAAGTAACAGTTAAACTGACGAGGAAATTTTTCTAACTGTCAAATCGCTTTCAAGTCGTACATAATGTAGATCCTAATGAGCTATGAATATCCTGAAAATGGTTCGTGCTTAGCTTATTGCTGTCGAGATATTGCATTTACACGACATTTTTAAACAGAAAGACGGGATTCCTTTCAGGAATATTAGAAAAATTGAGTTTCCAATTTTAACTTGAAATTTTGCAGAGAGAAAGGTCTCAATGAGAATAGTTTATTGTGAAAGTTTCAGACATTTTGATTGATCATCGGAACCCGCCAGTGTCTATATGAGCGATGTTCAAGCATGCTTTTATCATAGCTGTATATTAAGATAGGAACAAGCAAAAGATCTGAGAAATTTTCATAATAAACTATTCTCATTGAAACCTTTCTCTGTGCAAAGTTTCAAGTCAAAATTCGAAATTCAGTTTTTTTAATATTCCTGAGAGTGACCACGACTTTCGTTTAAAAAATGTCGTGAAGATGCAATATCTCAGCAGCACGAATCCTTTTCAGGTATTCATAGCTCCTTATGATCTGCATTATGCACACACTCCCAACTCGAAAGCGATTTAACAACTGAAAAAATTCCCTCGTGAAAACAACTATTTTTTTAGAACAATAATAAAAGTCCAGAAAATCTAGAATTTTGAACCTATTAATTCGAATTCGTATTTCTATGAATTTCATTTAATGAAAACTAATATCAATATCACAAATAATTCCTCAAATTATTTGAAATAAAATCAGTAGTCAAAATTTTATTAGCTAGTTTACAAAAAAAAAGATTTTTGTCTTGTATCAATCGTATTTGAAAATCATTTATTGTGGACAAAATTTAGGTAGAGATAATTTTGGTATCCATTCAATATTGATTAATGGTGGAGGATTAATCATTATAAATGGACATCCTTTTTCTATAAATGGTCGAATCATCAATGGTGATGTAATAAGAAGAAATGCATGTGTTAGTATCCAACCGGCATGTTCCGGACGTTTAATTTTCATATATGTTTCAATAGAACAAGCAATACCATGTAAAAAGAAAAATATAAAAGTTGGAAAAAGTATTGATTTATCATCAAAAGCAATAAAACATGCATGAACATGAAGTAGACCACTTATAATAAATGTTATCAATGCTGCAATAGTCGATGATGAAAATTCTAATCGAATAGGTTCAAAAATTGATTCTTTTAAAATTGTATTAACAATATGATTATATCTTTGACCCCAAAATTCTCGTAATGATAAACTTAATATTGGAAAATTTGTAAATGATTCAATTGTATATTTATCTCGTGTTAAAATTCGAATAATAATCATTTCAATATCAAATATATATGATATTGTCATTATAAATAAATAAAACAAAAATGTTCTTTCATAACTAACTTCCATTCCACATTTAATAAACCATCGATAAATCCAATGATTTATTAATAATTTAATTATAATTAATATAATATGATATATAATTGACCATTGATTTTTTACTTTATTTTTAGGTAATATTGGTAAATAAATCCAAAGAATTTTTAATAAAAATGTTTGATAAGTTAATAATGTTGTTTTTGAAAATAATATTAAAGATATTAAACGTATTGACATTAACCAACATAATGCAACAATTATTAATGAAGATACATAAAAACGAGGAAGATTTTTACAAGTTATATAAGTTAATAATATACATAAAAAAAATATTAAAAAAAATCGAATTAATTTATTTGAAATAGGACGAATTACATAATAACATATAAATATACATACAAACCAACCGATAAGAACAAATAAAGACAAAACCATATTCACGACCACTTTGATATCGTTCTTTCTTTTTTGAAATAAATATATTCGTTATATGATATTTTTATTACGACTTTCGTTATGACGTCAATAATTTATATTACAGTTATCATTCTCTTTCTTTCATCATTGACATTTTTTTTTTTCAACGTTACCTGTTTAAATAACGACTATAACAGAATATTTTATTATATCATTCTTATCTTATTCACTTCAAAAAAAATAAAATAATTAAAGAATACTTTTATTATTTTAGGACGAAAATTCGATTAAAAAATCATTTAGAATAATAGTTAATGCTAATGCATTGAAGTTCTTGTTGAAAGAATGAAAGTTTTCGATTTTTTTTATGTATGAAAAAAAAAAAAAAAGAGAAAAAACAACGAAACAAGAACTAAATATATGCAATGCTCTTTCAGAGATGTCCATCGCGGCTGAACCTCTGCCGCTGCCGCGCTGCGGCATTAGAAAAAAAAAGTTACCGCGCCGCGATGGTTTATAAAAAAAAAGTCACCGCGCCGCTGCCGCGATGGTTTTCAAAAAAGTGTTTCGATTTTCACTGCTGCAACTGTATTGGACCAGAAATATTGGTACTAGTCCATCAGATTCATTCAGTCTCGGGGTGTTTCATTTGTAAACAATGAAATTCTATTAAATTCATGCAGTTTTTCAATGTCCTCGAAAAAAATGCTGCCGCTGCCGCGATGAGTTTTTAAGAAACCTGCCGCTGCCGCGCCGTCACCGCCACGGCGGCAGCGGCAGCGCCACTATGGACATCTCTGTGCTCTTTTAGTGCACGAGTAATAAGTGTGTATTGTTTGTTTTCGAAAACGCGTTCAGGATAAATATTCTGATCAATGAAATATATCAAAATACAAATTCCAATATTTACATTATTATGAAAGCTTCTAGCGAATTTCTATTCATTATTTTTCTGTACTTTTGTAAGCTTTAACTAATTCTGAATTCACAGCGATCTAGACTATTGATCAAAAATATTCAATATTATTTTCAATGTGTTAACTAGACAATATGTATGATTTAATTAATACAATTATTCGAAAATCTTTTTCTTCAATTGAAAAGTTCACTCTCGAAAAAATATAACTAATTGAAAATTTTTCTGTAAGTACTTATAAAAAGTCTCTTTTTTGCTTAATCTAAAAAAAATGAGTGAAATTATACTTTGTTCAAAGGATGACACCTTTCATTTAGTTGAAATTTTTGGTTGATTTTCTTAATAATTCTCTGTTTTTCGGAGGACAATCTACATTTCTAAATATGAAAACTATTTTCCTTATTTTCAGCTAAATAGATAGAGAAACATAGTTCTGACTATATAATGCAATATTTCATTCGAATTTGAATGAAAATATTATCAAAATTATAACTATCGTATTCATACGAAATATCTACAATGTTTTCTAATCTCCATTCGTATAATAAAATAAGATTATCAAAATAGATTATATTCCGATCTAAAAATTGATATCAAACGAACAAAAACTTATAAATCTTGTCTGCATATTTTATTTATAAAATTGTTGTTTTCAGATAAAATATGAAAAAATATTAAGCAATCGGTTTATTATCAAGAAGAAATTGAAAACAAGCACAAGATTATTAAAATAGAGCAATTGTTTTTGTTTTTAATGAAATTGAATTCATATATGTTATTGCAAAATTCCGGAATATGATTGATATAAATATACTTTTTTTTTATCGACTAAAAAGAACAATTAGGCCAAGAATTGTAATTATAACATTAGTTTCCTTTACTAGATGATTACTGGCACTACTAGTAGTAGTACGAGCAGTAATAGTGGTACGAGCAGTAGTAGTACGAGCAGTAGTAGTAGTGGTTACGTCATTTGCTTTTACATAAAAAGCGATATCATGTCGTGATCTTAAATTATATGTTATATCACGAGCTTCAATGCTCAAATATTCTTCACCTTTAATAGCTGTCCATTGAAATATACCTGTATACTGATTAAATGTAGCATTTGCAGGACGATGCAATTCAAACAATTGAACAACATTCGATGGATATTCACTTGTTGCAGATATATTTAAATTTATTTTATTACCATGTATTAAATTCATGCTGAGCGGAAGTGATGATTTGAATAGAGGTGGATTTCTTTGATTCTTTCGAATTGATAAAAGTTCATTACCAGCCAATAATGATGCTTTAGCTAAATTAATATCATTAGTCATGTATAAATCATAATAACATGTTCGTTGAGCTAGATTCCATGATGAAGATAAAGATGTGGCATTTATATTACAACTATTACGCATTGTAACATTATTTATTGTTGTCGGATCAATAAACGATGGAATAAATTCACGATTTTTTTGGTGAAAGAACTCAGGAGTTTGATCTGATTCATAGTACAACAATGAAGATAAAGGATCAATAGCCCAAGTAACACCAAAATCTTTATGAATTTGTTCCAATGAAGCATTACTTATAATACTTCCATTTTTACTTCGTAAATCATTAGTTACATTTCCGTCATAAGTACCTAATAGTCCGTATGTTTTTCCACGAAAATTTCCAGCTACGGAAGCAGCTATATCAAGTATCAATTGTTTTGATGGTGATATCATTTCAATCACATTTATTTCAATAGTTACACCAATAGTCCATGAAAGAGAGAAATGTCTATTATTATTACCATCAAGTCGATTAATAGTCATTTCAGGAAAGGAGAGTATATGAATATTATCATCGAATTCAATAGGTTCATTTCCACGATATAAAACAAGATTTTGACGACGTGAAATAGTTACTTTTACTGTTTCACTTTTGTTATTATTTAATCGAGCAGCAAAACTTTTTGTAACAGTAGCATTTATTGATGGTATTGGAATAGTTCGAATTTGTGACATAAATATATAAGATTGATTACTAGCATTGAAAGCAGTTGATAGTGAAATATTATTACTAATGGCTAAATAAATGTATTCTCCATAGCCATTGAAAGTATATGAAGTTCCATCAAGCGTTCCAAAATGTGGATCTCCCCACATACGACCAGTATCACCCATTGTATTACTACCTTTTCGTGGTGGTCGATAATACATATATTTATTACATGCTTCATCATTTGTAGTCATGATACAACATTGTAAGTAGGGTAAAGTATCATAAAAAAAATGTTCAATAGGCGATATTGTATGTTGATATCGATCATCAGTTCCTGCACCTGTACCACGTGTAATTAACATTTGATTATTATCATAACAACATTCTGCTCCAGCACGATAGTTATTTGAATATTTTGAAATATAACATTCAATAGCCGATGGTTCATTATGTCCAGGACGAGCATGATGAAGCCAACAATTATTTGGATTTGAACTACCATTAAAACATTGTCGATCGAGATCATAACAACAACGACCAGCTGCTATTGCTTGCCAACGTGTCATTGGACATTGAAGAAGAACACCACCATTCCATATTGATGGTTCCAGTTGTTGTGCGGCCCAATTTTGACATAATTTGACAGCCAATGATGGATCACTTTTAACAATTAGTATGCCTGTATTTAATCCAGTGTATATTTGACTATTAAAACGTGCAACTACTCGAATAAAACATGTCGAAATATTTGAAGGTAGTTGAATACGTGCTGAATTAGTAAGATTTAAATTTCGTACAAGTATTATAGATCTATTATTCTTTTGCAATTGTGATTGAGAATTGAGACGTACTGTCCATAATTCAATATCAATTTTTGTACCAATAGGAAATGTACTTTTCAGTATTTCGGAAAAATACCATGTTAAATTAAGATATTGTCTATCACTAAGTAAATTGGTACCACCTTTCATTTCAATAATTACTTCATCGGAACCGAATTGTAATGGAGCATATGTAAAAATACCAGCTGAAATGAATGTCAGTCCATTATCAATTGATATATTCACTGATACTGGTCCGTGAACAGATGCAAATGGTGTAAGACAACTTGCTCGAAATTCATCAATAATAAAACCATCGATAATTTGTGATGAAGTACCAAATCGACATTTAACTTTTGTTTGATTAGTAAAACATGGACCATAAATATTCAGAGCTGTAGAACCAAATTGTGAACTAATTCGAGGACGAAATGAAATTCTTGTTTTACTCTCATTACAACCACCTACATTGATCTCATCTGCATCGATACGAAAAGTAAATAAACCAGGTACATTGACATTACTCTTATTGACTAATTCTATGATATTTTTTGTACCAGAATATGGAAGCATTTGAGTTTTATTTTGATCACCATTATGAATTCCTGCTTCAGCATCGTAAGACGTTATGTTGTAAGGATTAGCCCATTGAAGTTCATGATAAAGAAAAAAGACAAAACTACGATCTTCATCTGTACATAATACAATTTGAAAGGTATTATTTAATGTATTATTAGTACTAATACCAATGTAATACCAAGTACTTGTAATAACCATTTTTGGTTTGAATAAACGTTGTTGAGGAAAGAACTTTCGAACATAATCACTTGCTTTATTAAATACTGTCACTGTAGAATTTGATATTGATGTATTACTATGAATTTGATAGTAAATTTCACTTTCAGTATTGTTGTCTTGATTCCAAATATAATCATGCCAAAATCCAGCCACAAGACAACTATCATTCAATGATGTAAGTGGTCTTTGTGAATAATAATTGATTGATCGTTGAAAAGAAAATAAACCATTACTATTTATCCAAATTTGTTGATAATTATTGTCAAAACAAGGAAATACATATGGTAGATGTAAAGGACCCACACTTGTGCCGTTTCGAAGCATTGTTGAATCACCTTTTTCAGATCCAAATGCAAAGAAATCATTTAAAGGTAAAGTACTGGATGCCGACACAAGAAATACGATGAAGAAAAATGTACGTAACATTGTACTTATCGTTTATCAAAATGAGACAAGCAATATATTATCGAATAGCTCTTTTATAATGTCAGATGAAGAGAAATTGT